CGCCTTCCCGCCGTGCCAGGGCGGGTGCGGACACGCGCGCCCGCGAAAAAGTGCGTACCACGCCAAAAATCGCCCCACTTGGGTCTGCAACAGGTGTGCCGCCAACAAGTGCAGCCAATGCGGTGGAGACTTGCTACAGACAGCAAACGCAGACTCGTGGTGCGAGAGCTGCGCTTTCCCGCCATGCCAGGGCGGGTGTGGACAAGCCCGTCCACGCAAAGGCGAGTGCCGCGCCAGAGTCTGTCCCAACTGGACTTGCAACCAGTGTGACGCATGCACGTGCAGCCAATGCGGCGGAGACTTGCCAAAGACGGCCAACGCAAACTCTTGGTGCGACAAATGCGCCTTCCCGCCGTGCCAGGGCAGCTGTGGACAAGCCCGTCCACGCAAGGGAGAGTACCACGGCAGTGTCTGTCCCAACTGGATTTGCAACCAGTGCGCCGCAAACACGTGCAGCCAATGCGGCGGAGACTTGCCAAAGACGGCCAACGCAGACTCTTTGTGCAACAACTGCGCCTTCCCCCCGTGCCAGGGCGGGTGTGGACAAGCCCGTCCACGCAAGGGAGAGTACCACGCCAATGTCTGTCCCAACTGGACTTGCAACCAGTGTGCCGCAAACACGTGCAGCCAATGCGGCGGAAGCTTGGCAAGGACGGCCAACGCAGACTCTTGGTGCAACAACTGCGCCTTCCCGCCATGCCAGGGGGGTGTGGGCGAGCGCGCCCCCGCAGGGATGAGTACCGCGCCAGACGTTGGCCCTCCTGGGTGTGCCGTGAGTGCGCGCGCAAGCCAAGTGAGACTCCCGGCCAAAAGCGCCGCAAGCAGGGCTGAGCTTCGACACAAGTCAGACAGGCCGGACCAAAGTTATGCTCAGGTTGCGCAGGGACTTGTCCGCACAAAGGAATTAAAACTCAAAAGCGAAGTTTCAAGGCAAGTGAGAAAAAAGCTTCCAGCCAAAGGAGCAGAGCCAGCCAGAACGTGGCTCCGGCCATGCGAGCATGCAGCTCGGCCCAAGCGTGCTGCTCGGACAAGCCTAGCTTGGAGCAAGCGTCATTATCGTTCAAGACGTGTTGGCGCGGCAGAAAGAAAAAGGCCGTGGCAAACATGTGATGTGATCATTTGAGACACCTCTTCTGTTGTCTGCGTCTCATTGTCTAGCGGGCCGTTGGCAGGTTTTTTCGTGCTAGGCTTCGGGTCTAACAACCAAGGCTTGTGTTATGATCTTGGTGGGTTTGGTGGTCTCGCAACAAGCCTTGTGGCGGGTCACCCAAGTTGGGGCAAGGGGAAGCGCAGACCATGGGGAATTTCCGGAGGATGCAGGTGCTGCCAGGATGTTGTCCACTATGGGCGCCCCCCCCCCCCCTCAAAAAACCGCTCGGTTTTTTTACTCCGCGCGGAAAGTGTTAAAAAAAGGAAGCCTCAATTTTCCATACATTATCCAGCTGTTTTCCATGCTTTTCTATCCTTTGTCCATGCATTCCATCATTTGCCATCCATTTTCCCGCAAGTGTCCATCTATTGCCCACCCATTTTCCACGAAGTTTCCATCCATTGTCCAGCAATGTTCCATCCATTTTCCATGAATTTTTCATCCATTTTCCACAATCCATTTCCATCCACTTTTGCCTTGATTTCCCCACATGTCCCTTACCGGCACGGACAGCGCCCCCTGCATGCTCCATCAACTTTCCCCCCAGCTTCCATGAAGTTTCCATCCATTTTCCAGACATTTGCGATCCATTTCCAGTCACCTTTCCCTTCATTTCCCCACACGTCCCTGAACGGCGTGGACAGCACCCCCTGCATCGACTGCATCATCCGAAGCAATGTCCGCCATGGATGCTCAATTGTTGCACCCTATTGCAATCCTTTTTCCATTCATTCCATCAATGCATTTTCCAGGAACTTTGCATCAATTGTGCACACATTTTCCATCCCCTTTCCCTCCATTTCCCGCATTTTTTTCATCAACGCCCCTTCATTTCCATCAATTTTGCATCCTTTTTGTCCATCCTTTTTCCAGCCCATTCCATCCAGCCATGTCCCATGAATTGTTTGTACGCATTCCTTTCCCTTTTCGTTTCCGCTGTCCGGCTCCCTTCACGTTCTGCCCGTGCATTTTCCATGCATCTTGGTTTCTCTCCAGTGCCCTCTTCATTTTCGTGCAATTCCTTTGACATCCATTTTCCAGACATTTCCGATCCATTTCCATTCACCTTTCCCTTCATTTCCCCACACGTCCCTGAACGGCGTGGACAGCACCCCCTGCATCGACTGCATCATCCGAAGCAATGTCCGCCATGGATGCTCAATTGTTGCACCCTATTGCAATCCTTTTTCCATTCATTCCATCAATGCATTTTCCAGGAACTTTGCATCAATTGTGCACTCATTTTCCATCCATCCCCTTTCCCTCCATTTCCCGCATTTTTTTCATCAACGCCCCTTCATTTCCATCAATTTTGCATCCTTTTTGTCCATCCTTTTTCCAGCCCATTCCAGCCAGCCATTTCCCATGAATTGTTTATTCGCATTCCTTTCCCTTTTCGTTCCCGCTGTCCGGTTCCCTTCACGTTCTGCCCGTGCATTTTCCTGCATCTCGGTTTCTCTCCAGTACCCTCTTCATTTTCGTGCAATTCCTTTGACATCCATTTCGTTCACTTTCAGTCACTCCTGTTTCCTTGTATTTCCCCTTCAGCCCCTTATTTCGCATCGCCAGCATGCATAGCATCATCCGCATCATCCGGGATGATGCTGGCAATGCTGGGGGTGTAGTCCAGTATTAGGCACCCCCTAAAAATACACGTTTTTGGACTCGTTTTTGGATGCTGCGGGGGATGCTACAAAAATCCTCGGAAATCGCCTAAGCCAATCCGCAAATCCTTCGCCCCTTATAAGGGTGGGCCCAGCGCAAAACGTATGCGCATGGTCGGAGCATGGTCGGCGCATGTTCTGCGCATGGTCGGCGGCATGGGGGCCCTAACGGGCTTTGGCCTGCGGCCCGATCACGTCCGGTGGCCGGATTTACACGCTGACGCGACACAGCCGGCCACCGGGCACCTGGCCCTGCCTGTTCTGTCACTTCCCTGTCCTTTAATTCGGATGAGATGCCGAGATTTGAACCTCACTTCCTTTGCGCGTCTTTCCTGCAACTTTGAGAGTTTCCTGGCATTCCCCTTTGCTTCCTGTGCGTTTGAGCTCCCTGCACTTCCTTGAGCGCCGTGTCAGTCGCATTTCTCCCCCCTGTAAGCACCCCAGCGCGAAGCCTTGTGCAAACTGCTCGACAGCTAAAACCACAGAAGCGCGCCAACACGCTAAACCCACATGCGCAGGTTGAAGCAGCATGCACGCGCTAGAACGGAAACAGGGCGGAAGTTGCCCCCAGGGCGCTTCTCAGTCATGTGCCTCTGCAGACATGGAGAAGAAGCAGCAGTCGCGATTGCAAACGCGCTCGAAAGGGAGGAGGCGGCAAGTTGCCCACAGGGCGCTTCTCAGTCATAGACCGCTTCAGCCATGGAGAAAAGGCGATGGTCGCGCCAGCCAGGGAATGCGCATGGTGTCAGAGCCGAAAAGGCCGCAGTTGCTTCCGTTGGATGTTTCCCGCCCTGTCACTTCATTTTCCTGCATTTGAAGTGTCATCTGTTTCACTGCCCTTCAGTCGCTACTCGTCATCTACCGGAAAGTTGCCCGCAGGGTGCTTCCAAGTCGAAAAAGAAGTGGAAGGAGGGCGGGGGCCAGCCCGTCAGGCCCGCTCCTGCACTTCCAGTCCCTGCACGTCCTTGCCTTTCCTGTTACTTGAGCCCCGTCCAGGTTCCCATCCATGTCCGAGCCATCCCATCTGCTTTCTCCTTTAGTGTACTTTGTTTTTTTAGTTGCCATCAATCATCCATCCATTTTCCACCAGTTCCATCCCTTCCATACATTATTATGCATCCATTCTCCAACACTGTTCCACCCGCTTCCACAAGCTGCCAGCAGTGTCGCCATGCATGTTGCAAGAGCAGTTTGGCAGTTGTAAGGGAAGCCGAGTGAAGCTAAGGGACGCCAGACAGCACAAGCAGATTGATCACCCCGCATCAGTTGACCGCGCGCTGCACAGCGTCGCAAGGCATTTTGCAAGCGCAGTTTGGCAGTTTTAAGGGAGGCCGAGTGAAGCCAAGGGAGCGCCTGAAAATGTTCGTTGCACAAGCAGCAGCATGTTTCACATAGCAGCCACCAATAATGTTCATCGTGCTTGCAGCAACATGTTTCACGCGGCAGCTCTTGATGACGTTCGCCGCAGAAGCAGCAACATTTCTCGCGCAGCAGCTTTCAAAAACATTCGTCGCATCAGCAGCAACATGTGTCACACAGCAGCTTCTGAAAACGTTAGTCGCTCAAGCAGCAACATGTGTCACGCAACAGCCACGTCGGACTAGCAGCAATCACACAACAGATTCGTCGCACTAGCTGCGATGAACTTTTTTTTTGTCGCAAAGCCTTGCAGGCTATTTACAAGGGACAAAAAAAGCAACAGTAGGAAGCAAGGTCCACTTCAGTAACAAGCCCTTGGCTTGGCGCCAGGTTTTTGGAAACCAGCTCTGCGGGCAAGCCAACCCTCGAACCGTTTCAGCCAAGAGCGCCGCAAACAAACCTGTCGTTGAGGGTTGTTTCAATAGTCTGGTTTCACCTGAACGTGGAGCGACTCTTTCACTGTAAGACACGAAAAAAAGAATATGAAAACACCTTGGGACTGTCACATGTTGCGCATGATTACTCACAAAGGCAGGGCCAACTTGCGGTGCTTCTCTCGCAGCAGTTGCAGCTCGCAGCTCAGACTTGTCCAAACTGTTAGACAGCTGGGGCCGCACCCGAAACACGCCAACAGGCTTCAGCCACAGGAGTCAAGCATCACGCACGGTCTAGCGCCGGAAGAAGGGGAAAGTTGCCCGCGGGGCGGACAAGGAGCTGCAGGCTGGTGACAGTTGCCCATGGGGCGCTGGTAAGTGATTTAGCAGCGCATGGCAAGTGGGGCTGGGCACAGAGCCGGGGGTGTAGTCGTGGCAGTTCCTGGAGATGGCTGGTGCCTCTTCCATGCGGTGGCAAGGTACGGGGCCAGGCCTGGAGCAGGTGCTAGGCCGCGCTGGTGTCTGCGTGCTGCAGCGGAGATCTACTTGCAGGCGCTAGAGTGGCTGTGGGCGGCGCTGGCTGGACCAGATGCCGCAGCAACTGAAGCAGCTTGCGTGCCAGAAACGGAGGCGGAGTTGGAGCGACACCGAGACTTCGTTCGACGGCGCGGTGGCGTGGAGGCACAGGTTCCAGACGCCAAGCTGGTGCTGTGGAGTAAGGTGCTGGCTGTGGTGGAGCAGCCTAACGGTCTGGACTCCTTCCATCATGGGACCAGCGCAGAATTGTGGGCGCTCACCCAGCAGTTCGACTTCGATGCTATAGTATGGAGCGGCGTCCCTGACGCGAACTACTGGGCACGAACTCAGACTCGTGTCACGGACGAAGAATGCCGGACGGCAGTGGCTCGGCTCCCGACCGTGCTGCAGCTGCTGCACCGAGAGATCGGCAACGTGGGGCACTATGATCTGCTCGGGACCGATGCCGTGTCTCCGCAGCCGTTTGCGCGGACACCTTGGGTGAGGCGGTGGGCCGAAGGCGGCAGTGAAGCCATGTGGGAAGTGCTAGGCATGCCAAGGCGGCCCGAGCGCATCCATGCTCCAATTCCTGAAGTGGAGGCGGACGTCTGGTCCGAGCCAGAAACCAAGTGTGACGTGGTCTTGTCAGACAAAAACTCTGACAAAATAGACATGGAAACCGATAGTGTGCCAAGGCAGCCCGAGCGCATCCATGCTCCAATTCCTGAAGCGGAGGCGGACGTCTGGTCCGAGCCAGAAACCAACAGTGACGTGCCCTTGTCAGACAAAAACTCTGACAAAATAGAGATGGAAACCGATAGTGTGCAGTCGTGGGACTCGCAGGATGCCAGCGACGAAGCTGAAGAGCTCGGCCCGGTGGCGGTGGAAGCCAGCAAGACGTGGACCACCCTGGAAGACACAGACGTCCACCTTGCCGAGCAAGTGGCATCCCTGCTGCGGCCGACGCCGCTGCTGCCGCCGCCGCTCCCGGCCTGGAGTGCCAGCATGTGCGCGCCTGCCTCAGGAATAGTCTACCCCGCCGTGCATTGCGCGTTTGCAGGCTGCGCTTGGTGCAGCGAGACGCAGCCGTGTCAAGAGCGGGGCACGCTGGAGCGTGGGTGGTGCCAGACTTACACTGGACTCGCCTGAGTGGCGCCTGCTGCGGCAAGGCGAACACGTGTCTCTGGGCTCACTTGGCCGCGTGCCACTGGGACAGCCTGTGTGCCGGCCAGGCAGGGCAGGAGTGGTGGCACTCGTTTGCCGAGAGGAGGCATCCGTGCCTGCAGTGGGCTGGAGCGTGGATCGGCGCACGCTACGCCGTCTCCGACAGGAGAGGCGCGAGGAGCACTGCGTGGCCTTGGTGTGCGCCTGTTGCGCGGGAGTGCAGCCTGGAGGTCCTAATGGCAACGTAGGATACGTGTCAGTGCGCGAGCTGTTCACAACCGTGTCAGCCGAGAGCTTTGCCGCGAACTGGAGCTTGACAGAGTACATTCGCAAGTACGGCGAGCACGCGGCCGTGAGAGATCGGCTTCCGGAGCAGGATTGGCAGCTGTCGCTGCCGCCCGATCTGTTTGAGGGGCAGCGAATTCTGTGCTGCCCAGAAGACCGCGTGTGTGCCGCGTGTCCAGCCACGCAAGAGCAACTGTGCGCTGAGTGCAAGCTGCCACTGTGCCGGACATGCTGGAGCCGCTTGCGGCAGAGCACGTGCCCGCAAGTCCCGCAAGCTCTTGCCAATGACAACTGGTACGGGTATCCTCTGAATTTCTTATATCAAGAAAAGGTGCGGTGGATTGAGGCCGCGGCAGCATGTCCCGTGTGGACGTCCGTGGTGAGTTTCTATATAGAGGAAGATCGCGGGCACCTGATGGAGGAGGAGCTGCATCGCAGCGACTTCCGCGTGGCCGTGCGAGGCAATGTTAGCTCCTTCAGCATGCCTTGGGAGGAGATCTACGGCAGTCTCCACCGCTTGGGGGCGGAGGCTGTGCTGCATCAGCTGCCGCACGCAGTCCCGGTGCTCAACACCATGATGAAGTTGACAATCAAGGGCATGCGGCACGCCGAGATCGTGGAGTGGGTGGCTGGTGCAAAGCTGCGCCCGTGGATCGTCGTGAGGTTGTTGGAGCACCTGATCGACAGCGGACATCCCATGTGTGAGGCATGGGCAGACAAAGCCGCGCTCAAAGAAAGCTTGAAGCAGCGGGTGTTCAGCAGGTACGGCAAAGACGAAATGTCGCCGGTGACCATGGAGGCCGCCCCGATGGCGCCGGAGGAAGCCGACCAAAGCGGCGGAGGGCAGAAAAAGCATGCCACACCTGAAGCGGCCAGCGTGCATGAAGTCAACGGCGAGGCCTTTGCTGGCATAGTGCGGCCGCACGTGTTGTCGTCCGACTACACTAGCTCCCAGGTGCACGACGTAGACGTGCAAGAAATTGTGCAGCTAGCCAAGCTCACCGCGCACGTGAAGGTGCAAACCGGGCAAAGCTTTTGGGACCAGTGGCAAAATCGATTCGTCAGCTGGGCGTACCCTTTCAGCCTGCCCGCGCCAGTGGGCGGTCCGGATTTCCCGTCCAAGTCGCGGGACCGCAGGGGCAGTGAGGCTGCCGTGCTCACGCCCTTCGCATACATGCAATCGCTGGCCCGGCGCGTGGAGAGCTCCATCCGCAACTCCTGGGATCTAGTGCCCGGGGTGCGCCGCATCACGATGAAGTTGGCATTCGGTGTGGCACTCCGACCTGTGGCGTCGGCTCAAAGGCAAGCGGGCCGAGCTGAAGGAAACTCCCGATCAGGCATGGGTGGAAGCCGCGCAAGGCCTGTACAAAAAGTTGCAGAAAGGGGTGTACACCGTGCGCCGCAATGTGTGCAAGCCCATCAACTACGATGCGCGGAAGTTGTGGTACGCCAAAGACTTGACGCTGCCTGAGCAGGAGCTGCTGCGGGAAGTGCGGCACACGCAGCAGACCTTGCCGGGGACGGTGGAAGTCCGTCGCCGCATCGGCCGGTTCTTGTTCGGGGCCCGGGTGGAACTAGGAGAGCCGCTGTTCCTGACATTGTCGCCCACCACGCGGCACAACGGCCTCTGCCTCAAGTTCTCGCGGTATCGCCGTGCGGACCCGGCAGCAACAGGCATGTCCGGGCCATGGTTTGCACGAGACTCGCCTCAAGTATGGGACACGGCCGATGTCCAAATCGAGCTGCCGAATTATGACGTCCGGCGAGAGCTGACGGCCAGAGACCCGTGGGCGGTTGTCGTCGCCTTCCAGGCCATGGTGCGCTTCGTGTTTGGCACCCTGCTCGGCCTGCGCATGTGCTTCCGATGCCCAAATTGCACGTGCCGCGATCAGACAGGGCACGGGTTTCACGTGACGGGCGGCGTGCTGGGCCTGGGCCTGGTCCACGCCATGTGCGGCGCGATTGAGTACCAAGCAAACTCGACACCGCATTTTCACTGCAACGTGTACTTGGCATGCGTGTGGCAGCAGCCCCTGCAGAAACTTGCCGACCTGCTGCAGGCCGAAGTGCTGCGTGTGGCGGAAGTGTTCGACTTTCAGCAGTGGCTGCATTGCGAGGAGCATGTTCTGCACGAGAAGCACCAAGCCGAGGTGCAGGCAGTGGAAAAGTCGTGGCTGCAAAACTACCGCGGTCCAGAGAAGGACGCTTTGTGCTTGTGGCCCTGCTTCCTACTGCAAGACACGCAGCCGAGCGCGTGGACGCAAGATCAAGCAGAACAGGCGGCAGCCACGGATGCAGCGAGGTTCAAGGCAGCCTACGATGCAGCTGTGCAGCAAAAGCTGACGCATCAGCAGCATCACGTGCACCCGTGGAGTGCCTCGCAGCAAGCCCGCTTGCCGCTGCCAGCATGCCGCAAAAAGAACGCTCCGAATAAATGCAAGCACGGCTTCCCGCGGCCGCCCAATCCGCGCTGCAGAGTCATTTGCCGCGGCAACGCGCGCAAGTTCAAGCTCAGCACCCGGGGTCGCCGTAATGCGCTGGGCACTGTGCTCGGTCGCCGGCACGATCCGTGGCTGTCTGGCACCTGCCGAGCGTTCGCCTTGATGCTGATGGGCAACAGTCACACCGGCCTGAACTACCGCGTGCCTCTGGCGAGCAGCACGCATGATCCGGACTGCGCTCGGGACTGTCTTGGGGCGCAGACCGTCCGACGGCTCCAGCGAGCCATCGCCCAAGCGGCTCGCCGTGCCACCAAGTATTTCACGGGGTACTTACAAAAACCGCAGCCTCTGGGCCGGAAAGAGCTGCAGCACGCGGCGAGGCAATTGAGCTTCTTGGACACCAAGCCGTGTGAGGGCAAGGAGCTGCAGCGATACAGGCAAGTCGTCAACCGGGTGCTGGGAGACCTCGAGTTTCGTTGCTCCGTCCGACCACTCACGGAAGAGTTCATGCTGGCTGGCTTTTGGGACGTGAGCGAGCCGTCTTCGGCCGAATGCATTCGCAGCTTCTGTGTGGCCCCATTCGTGGGGCACGAGTGGTTGACGCAGCTTGATGCAGTCACCGAACAGCGGAAGAAACTCAAGCCACACAGCAAAGGCAATGCAGAGTTCAAGCTGTCTGAGCTGTACGGGTGGCGAGGCACGGACCCACGCGTGTACTTCTTGTCTCCATGGGAGTTTGTGAAATGGTGGGAAGTGAAGAAGCTGCAGCCGCCTTCTGCGGCGGCCGAAGGGGACGAGCGCGGCCTGAGTGAGTGGAGCCCCGGACGCTCCCAGAGCATGGCGCAAGGCCAGGCGTCTGCGCCCGCAGACGGCTGGAAGTTCGGACGGGACTATCGCTGGCGCGACCCCTTGCCACCCCGTCTCGCAGCGAGCGTCCTGCGCCCGCCGTGCAAGAGCCAAACCCAGGCGGCCGCAGCGCACTACCTGCAACGGCGTCAGGAGCCTGTGGTGCCTTTCCCAAGCCTGTGCCCGCTTCCAAAAAGTGACATGCCCGCAGACACACAAGCACGGTTCCTGAACGTGTATCTGCGACCTTGGACCTTGGATGCGGCAGACGCGAGCCTGCACGTGCCGCACATCACGGCGCTGGACCTGCCCATCTCCTCCTTGCAAGCAAGTAAGCCACGGCGACGGCTGCTACAAAAGACAGCCCCTGCAGACAGAAGCCACAGCGCAGCTTGGCGAGACTATGCGACGCAGCACGCGGTGTCCGAGCACGCTGCCAGGACAATCCGCAACTTCTTGGCCGCGGCCGAGTGCACGCCTGACGAAGAAGACTTGGAGCAGGACAAGAAGGAGAAGCAATGCGCCGAAGTGGACACGACTTGGGTGGATGTAGCCACAGTTCGCCGACTCAGTGAGGGCGGCGGCTTCCAGTACTCCAGCCGCACGGCCCCCGCAGTGCGCAACATAGTCCAGCAGTGGCGCACCAATGCCGATGCGGAGCAAGTGGCGGACCTCGCACGGTGCGCAGGGGTCCCAGATCCCAAGGAAGCCCTCGGAGCCGGAGCAGGAGATGCACCGCAGGAGCGGCCGGGCGAAGCGCGCGCTCAGCCGGCAGTGGCGTGCGTGTACGGCAAGCTGAGTGCACAGGCAGCTGCGCTGTGGCTGCGCAACTTGCACGACCCCAGCACTCTGGCACGGCCCAGCGAAGAGCAGCAGGCCTTTTTGCAGGCCGTGATAGATCGCTGCCTGCGGGAAGCATGCGAGGAGGCAGAGGACAAGCCCTTTCGTAGCGAGCCACTGCGTGCCTTCTTGCACGGCGTGCCCGGGGCGGGCAAGAGCCAGACCCTCAAGTGGCTGCGCGGCTTTTTCGAAGAGATATGCGGGTGGATGCAGGGGCAAGAGTTTGTGTACTTGGCCTCACAAAACACCCAGGCTGCGCTGATCGACGGAAACACGCTGCACTCGTTTGCCGAGCTGCAAGTCAAGGCTCCCAAGCAGAGGCGACAAACGCAGTTTGGCCCCGACAAATTCGTGAAGTACCAACGACTCCGGTGGCTGATAGTCGACGAATGCAGCACCGTCGCGCTAGAGGTCTTGGCCGTCTTGCAAAAGCGGCTGGCAGAAGCGACCCGCAAGAAGCGCTCCTGGAAGTGCAGAGACACCACGCACGAGCGGCCGTTCGGCGGCGTGAACTTCCTTTGCGCAGGGGACTTCTGGCAGTTCCCCGCGGTGCGCGCCACCTCGCTGTTCCAAAACCCTTTCAGCAAAGGGGTCAGCGTCCAAGTCGCCAACCTGCACCGCCTGTTTTGGACGCACGGCGAGGACGGCATGCAGCGCTTGTTTGAGCTGACAAAAGAACATCGCTGCGTGGACCCGTGGCTGAGCCACGTGCTCTTGCAAGCCCGGTATGGGCGGCTGTCCCAAGAGGTGTGGTGCTTCCTACACGGCTATCCCACGCTGGCAGGCAGTTGGTGCCCGAACAGCGGCCAGTGCGACTGCAAGCAGGACCGGTGCAACGGACTGGCCGCAGCGTGGCAGCGGGAGATCCAATCCGGCACCCCACGCTCGTGGGACGTCCGCGTGAGGGAGGAGTGTGACGTGTGCGCCACCGAGCGAGAGCGCCGGCGCATCGTCGCTGGCTCTGCACGTGAGACGCCTGATCCACAGGCAGCTAAGTTTCTAGAAGGACCTTTCGTGCACGGCTTCAACGCGGCCAAGTATGTAGCTGCACTGCTGCGAGCCCGATGGGTGGCCCACGAGCGGCAACACGTGCTCCTTTGGGTTGTGGCGCAGGATACACCTCTGTTTCAGCTCGAGCCGGAAGCTGCGATCGGGGAGCTGCAAGCTCGCAAAGAAAACTGGCTGCAGCGCCACGACCAGGCCACTGGCGGCATCATGGGCTTGCTGCCTTTGCTTCCCGGCATGCCGGTTCGCGTCACGCAGACTCTGCCCGAGCTGCGGCCACTGCGCTTGTTCAAAAACAGTCGCGCGAAGCTGTTGAACTGGTGCTTGCAGGATGCGGATGCTGCGGCGGTGCAGGCGACTACCGCAACCGAAGTCGTTCTGCAAAGCATGCCGACATGTCTCCTGATACAAGTCGAGGGTGCCACTTGGAAACAGCTACCGAGCCTCCCCGCCGGGGTCGCATGCATCCGGCCAGTGCAGCAGCACTGGAAGGTCGCTGCGACCGGCAGTGCCACCGTTTTGCGAAGAGGCTTCCCAGTGGCTTGTGACTATGCCGGCACAGCGCACTCCTTCATGGGAGCCACACTGCCCGCCTGCACATTAGATCTTGGGTTCTGGGACAGCACGCCCTCGCGAGACGCGCAGCTCAGTGCCTACATGTGTTTGTCTCGCGTGAAGCGCGCCGAGGACTTGTGCGTGAGCCGGCCATTTGGGCCCAACCTCTTGGGCCAAGGCGATCTCACAGGCCCGCGCACGCTGCTCGAAACGCACCGGCAGACCATTACCTTGGAAGAAGCCAAGGTGAGGTTCCAGCAGGAAGCCAAGCAACGCAGCCGGCACCCGGAAGTGCTGCTGAGCTGTCGCCTCTGCAGCGTAGCGCGCGCAGGTCAGGAGTCGCTCAAGCCCCTGACCGCTTTCTTGGCGAACGAAGACGCCGCCCGCTTCAGCGTCGTGGCGCAGGGCATGGACAGGGTGTGCCGCGCGTGTCGCGCAAAGTGCCCGGCCGGCCAGTCCCGCCAAGCAGAGTGCGGTGATACTTTGTGCGCATGGTGCCAAGGAGTGCCAATGACACAGCCAGGTTTGTGCAAGATATGCAGCACCAAGCCTCTCGCCTGCTCCAAGTGCGGCGATGCCGCCAAAAAAGGCCAAAAGCGCACACTGGCAGACTTCAACTTAGATGAGATTCTCAGAAAGAAACGCACGAAGGAGCTGCGCCGCGCACGCTGCAAGCAGTGTGAAGCAGATGCACCGATCAGAGCCACAAAGGCAGCCAAGTGCAAGCAGTGTGGTCACTGGAAGTCTCGAAGCCACGTGACCGGGCTCGACTCAGAAACCAACGAAGGGATCTGCAGAACCTGTGCCACGCGCAATGCCAAGCCGCCGGCACAGCCGCCGGCCAAGGCGTGCCAGCAATGCGGCAACGCTTTGCCCAAATATGCAACGCCCGGCACATGGTGCGACAGCTGCGCCTTCCCGCCGTGCCAGGGCGGGTGCGGACACGCGCGCCCGCGAAAAAGTGCGTACCACGCCAAAAATCGCCCCACTTGGGTCTGCAACAGGTGTGCCGCCAACAAGTGCAGCCAATGCGGTGGAGACTTGCTACAGACAGCAAACGCAGACTCGTGGTGCGAGAGCTGCGCTTTCCCGCCATGCCAGGGCGGGTGTGGACAAGCCCGTCCACGCAAAGGCGAGTGCCGCGCCAGAGTCTGTCCCAACTGGACTTGCAACCAGTGTGCCGCAAACACGTGCAGCCAATGCGGCGGAAGCTTGGCAAGGACGGCCAACGCAGACTCTTGGTGCAACAACTGCGCCTTCCCGCCATGCCAGGGGGGGTGTGGGCGAGCGCGCCCCCGCAGGGATGAGTACCGCGCCAGACGTTGGCCCTCCTGGGTGTGCCGTGAGTGCGCGCGCAAGCCAAGTGAGACTCCCGGCCAAAAGCGCCACAAGCGGGGCTGAGCTTCGACACAAGTCAGACAGGCCGGACCAAAGTTATGCTCAGGTTGCGCAGGGACTGGCCCGCACGAAGGAATTAAAACTGAAAAGCGAAGTTTCAAGGCAAGTGAGAAAAAAGCCTCCAGCCAACGGAGCAGAGCCAGCCAGAACGTGGCTCCGGCCATGCGAGCATGCAGCTCGGCCCAAGCGTGCTGCTCGGACAAGCCTAGCTTGGAGCAAGCGTCATGATCGTTCAAGACGTGTTGGCGCGGCAGAAAGAAAAAGGCCGTGGCAAACATGTGATGTGATCATTTGAGACACCTCTTCTGTTGTCTGCGTCCCATTGTGTAGCGGGCCGTTGGCAGGTTTTTTCGTGCTAGGCTTCTGGTCTAACAACCAAGGCTTGTGTTATGATCTCGGTGGGTTTGGTGGTCTCGCAACAAGCCTTGTGGCGGGTCACCCAAGTTGGGGCACGGGGAAGTGCAGACCATGGGGAAGCGCAGGCCGTGGCCAACATGTGACCGTTTCAAAGATCGAGTCCGTTGTCAGCATCTCTTTGTCGGTCCACCTGTCTGTCTAGCAGGCTGCCGAGAGTTTGCTCGTGGTCCACCTTCCCGCCATTTTGCACCCATTCCACACATACCCATTTTCCATCCATGCTCCATCAATATTCCAGCCATATTCCACCTATCTGCCAGTCATTCCATCCCTGCGAATCCATGAATTCCCACATGTCCATTCGCTATTCATTCTCCAGCCATTTTCTAGCAATGTTCCATCAACGGCCTATCCTTTTACCATGACGGTGCAGCAATTTTGTTTTCCACAAATGTACCATCCATCCATTGTCCATCAATGTCCCATCCATTGCCCATTCATTTTCCATGAAGTGGCACCAATTTTCCACACATCGGCCAGCAATTTTCCGCAAACTTTCCATCAATTGTCTATCAATGTCCATCCACATTTCCCTTCATTTCCCCCATTTCCCTTCATTTCCCCACAAACCCCCTTCACCGTGGACAACATCCCCAGCATCCCCACCCCCTGCATCGACTGCATCATCCGAAGCAATGTCCGCCATGGATGCTCAGTTGTTGCTCCCTGTTGCAATCCGTTTTCCATTCATGCCAGCAATGCCTTGTCCAGGAACTTTCCATCAATCCTCCACACCTTTTCCATCATCCCTTGTCCCTCCAAATTCCTAAATATTTTCATCAACGCCCCTTCATTTCCATCAATTTTGCAGCCTTTTTGTCCATCCTTTTTGTCCGGATGATGCAGGTGCTGCAAGGATGGTGTCCACTACGGGCACCCCCCCCAAAAAAAAACAACAAAAAAACACGCTCGGTTTTTTGACCCCGCACGGAAATTATCATTTCCTTTTCCTTTACTTCCTGCTAGTTCCCGGGATTTGAACTTCATTTCCGTTGCATGTCATGCAGTTTCCTGGCATTTCCCTGCACTTCCTTTCGCTCATGTCAGCTCCCTTCATCTCCTTGAACGCCCCTTCACTGCTCGCACTCCTTTCCTTCAGTTTCTCTTCGCAACAATTTCTTTTCGTTCCCATCCTCCGGCTCCCTTCGCGTTCTGCCTGCATTTTCCGGCATTTTGTTTCCTCTCCAGTGCCTTCTTCATGCTGTTTCCCTTGCATTTCCCCTAAGCCCCTTGTTTCGCATCGCCAGCATGCATAGCATCATCCGCATCATCCGGGATGATGCTGGCAATGCTGGGGGTGTTGTCCAGTATTAGGCACCCCCTAAAAATGCTCGTTTTTGGACGCTGCGGGGAGATGCTACAAAAATCGCCTAAACCAATCCGCAAATCCTTCGCCCCTTATAAGGGAGGGCCCAGCATAAAACGTATGCGCATGGTCCGCGCATGGTCGGCGGCATGGGGCGCGCGGCCTTATACCTGAAGGTAAGCCCTAACGGGCTTTGGCCTGCGGCCCGATCACGTCCGGTGGCCGGATTTACACGCTGGCGCGACACAGCCGGCCACCGGGCACCTTGCCCTGCCCGTTCTGTCACTTCCCTTTCCTGTAAGTCCGATGAGCAGATGTTAAGATCTTAAAATTCTAAAAACTTTGAGATTCTAAGGGTCTCAGACTTGAAGACTTTCGGAATTTAAGGTTTCAATGGTTGAAGAATTAAGGTTTTAAGATTCAAAGATTTAAGGTTTTTGAAGGTTATAACAGCCAGGCCATTGCCCAGCCATTTTCCATCCAAGGCTTTAAGATTGTATGTTTTTTGAGATTTTCAGATTTGGCGACTTTCGGAATTTAAGATTTTAAGATCTTAAGATGTCAAGACTTCAAAATTTGAAGATTAAGAGGTTAAGGAATTTAGAATATTGCCCGGGTTGAAGGAATTTTATTATATTTTACTTGTTTATGAATTTAAGATTTTCAGTTTGCAATAGTTCGAGATTTAAAGAATTTAAGTTTTTGAAGCATTTAAGATTCTGAGATTATCAGATTTTGAGAATTTAGGAGTTTCATATTTTAAGATTTTAACATCTGAAGGTTCAAAGACATGAGGGTTTCTGCCACTTCCCTTTCCTGTAAGTCCGATGAGTAGATGTTAAGATTTCAAAATTCTAAAAACTTTGAGATTCTAAGGGTCTCAGATTTGAAGACTTTCGGAATTTAAGGTTTCAATGGTTGAAGAATTAAGGTTTTAAGATTCGAAGATTTAAGGCTTTTGAAGGTTATAACAGCCAGGCCATTGCCCAGCCATTTACCATCCATTATCAGATTTCGAAGGCTTTAAGATTCTTTTTTTTGTGAGATTTTCAGATTTGGCGACTTTCGGAATTTAAGATTTTAAGATCTTAAGATGTCAAGACTTCAAAAGTTGAAGATTAAGAGTTTAAGGAATTTAGAAGAATATAGCCCGTATTGAAGGAATTTTATTATATTTTACTTGTTTATGAATTTAAGATTTTCAGACTGCAATAGTTCGAGATTTAAAGAATTTAAGTTTTTGAAGCTTTTAAGATTCTGAGATTTTCAGACTTTGAGAATTTAGGAATTTCATATTTTAAGATTTTAACATCTGAAGATTCAAAGACATGAGGGTTTCTGTCACTTCCCTTTCCTGTAAGTCCGATGAGTAGATGTTAAGATTTCAAAATTCTAAAAACTTTGAGATTCTAAGGGTCTCAGATTTGAAGACTTTCGGAATTTAAGGTTTCAATGGTTTAAGAATTAAGGCTCTAACATTTCATATTTTAAGAGTTTAAGGTCTCAAGATTCTAAGACATAAGGTTTTTAAGATTTCAAGATTCGAAGACTTTAGGAAGTTTTTAATATTTTTAGATTTTAAGATTCTAAGTTCTAAGATTTTAAGATCTTGAGATTCTAAGATTGATTGTTAGATATTAATTTAAGATTTTAAGAATCTAAGACTTTAGGATTTTGAGATTTCAATCCAGGCCATTTTCCATCCATTTCCATCCACTTTAGATTTTAAGATTTTCAGGTTGCACGTTTTCGGCAAAATTGGCCCGACTTAGGGGACAACATCCCCAGCATCCCCCGCATCGCCGGCATGCATAACATCATCCGCATCATCCGGGATGATGCTGGCAATGCTGGGGGTGTTGTCCAGTATTAGGCACCCCCTAAAAATGTTCGTTTTTGGGCGCTGCGGGGAGATGCTACAAAAATCGCCTAAACCAATCCGCGAATCCTTCGCCCCTTATAAGGGAGGGCCCAGCACAAAACGTATGCGCATGGTCCGCGCATGGTCGGCGGCATGGGGCGCGCGGCCTTATACCTGAAGGTAAGCCCTAACGGGCTTTGGCCTGCGGCCCGATCACGTCCGGTGGCCGGATTTAAGGGCTGCCGCCCAGTGCCGCCGACCCCTGGATTTAGTTGTGGTTTTCGAGCAACCAAAAACAGTGCCCTTGGTTTTGGTTTCTTTGGTTTCTTTTTGACCCAAATGGCATCTGAGGCGAGGTGCCGTTTCGACAGTGATGCGTAGTCATGATTATGATCATCGCTGCTGGAGATGCTGGGGATGCGTAGTGATGATTATCCTCATGATTGCCAGAGATGCTGCGAATGATGCGTAGTGATGATTATCATCAAGGCAGGACTCCAAATCTCAATGGCACAAATGGCATCTGAGGCGAGGTGCCGTTTCGATAATGATGCGTAGTCATGATCATCGCGAGGCACCCTTGGTAATGAAGAGGATGCTACGATGATAGTTATCATGATAGTCATCCGCAGCTTTGGTAATGCAAAAAATGCTACGATGATAGTTATCATAAGAGTCATCATCCTCATCATCTTCATGATGATTGTCATCATAGTCATCGCCTTCATCATCGTCATCATGATATTCTTCTATCATTTCAAATGCGGTATTAGGCATCCTTGGTAATGCAGAGGATGCTACGATGATAGTTATCATGACAGTCATCCGCAGCTTTGGTAATGCAGAGGATGCTGCGATGATAGTTATCATAAGAGTCATCATCCTTATCATCTTCATGATGATTGTCATCCTAGTTATCGCCTTCATCATCGTCATCATGATTTTCTTCTATCTTGCTTTTATATACATTTGAAATGCATCCTTGGTAATGCAGGGGATGCTACGATGATAGTTATCATGACAGTCATCCGCAGCTTTGGCAGTGCAGAGGATGCTACGATGATAGTTGTCATAAGAGTCATCATCCTTATCATCTTCATGATGATTGTCATCATAGTCATCGCCGTCATCATCGTCATCATGCTTGTCATCATCATCATCATCATCATCATCTCTTCCTTCTATTCTTCTATCTTTCTTCTATATACATATCAAATGTGGTGTTAGGCATCCTTGGTAATGCAGAGGATGCTACGATGATAGAAGAATAAGAATAAGAATGAGATGATGATCATCATCATGATGATGAGGATCATAATAGGGATGATCATGATGATGATTACGATGATAACTATCATCATAACACCCTTGCATCACCAGTGCTGCCTAATAAGACATGATGATGACATCCTCGGCATCACCAGTGCCGGCTAATAAGGGATGATGATGTTGAAGGATATAGAAATGATGATGATGATGTTGACGATAAGAATGATGAAGGATCATATCGATGATGATGATGATGATGATGATGGGCATCCGTATGATGCCAGTAGTCATACGCTTGCCTCAAAGATTAATCCATGCGCTTGTACTGCAACCACCCTTCCCGTGCGCCTCCCCTTTGAGGAGAAGGGGTCGGCGGATAAATTAGGAAGTGCCCTAACAATGGTTTATGTCGTCCTCCCTTTCAAATTGCAGGATCTCCTCAAGACTTTGCCTCCACGGGAACCTGCTTTGGCTTGATCCGTCTGGGGGTGCGTTCTTTTGGTTAGTTCCACAGCATCCTTAGTTAACGAGGCCCAAACTGGAAGTTAGCAGAGATGTGACGGCGGTAGCACAGTCCTGCCAAGGAAGGCCAGGTCCAAATTCAAATAAAAGTGGGTGTGGGGTGTGCTGATCTCGGGTGCCAAATGACCCGACTATTGGAAATCCCCAAGAGAAACAAGAAGATGCAGCATTTCAATCAATTCGTCCAGATTCCCAATACTTCTCGAGCAAAACTGGGCTCCGTTGTCAAGGGCTGAGGGGTCCCAAGAAGTGCAGTGGATAGTTCAGTGCATGGGTGGGGCGTGAGTTATGCAGGGTACTCCAAATGCTGGAGCTCTTTTAGGGTATCGTGAGGAAGGATGACTAAACCTTAAATGGATTTCACCCAAAGGAGAAATTGGCTTTTCGAACCTACCGCAAAACGGCGGGCATTTGGAGAGGGGGAAATCACCCTCGGTATATGCCCCTGATAGCTCCAGAAAGGCTCCAGAAAGGGGCAGAGGTCCTCATCTGCCGTTTCCAGGACTGAAACCCTTGCTGCAGTGGCCTCTGCGCCCGGTGGCCTTGCGCCTGGGGACCATCTGCTTCTCCATCGCCTTTGCATGGCGCCTCGAAGAGTTCTGGTCCAAACTGTGTGTGTGTGTGTGTGTCAAAGCTTCGCTTCAAACCAACCTGAAGAAGGGCCCAAGGAAGAGTTGGATACTTGTCAGGTGTTACTGCTGACAAAAGTGAACCACGGCAAACTCGTTTGTATGTCTTTATGCATGCATGTACCATTTCCTCGGCATGTAGGTACCTGTCAACTCCTTTTTGTTTTTGGGATGTCAAGCCGCGACATTTGGTCAAGAGGTTGCAAAAAGACCAAACTCCGTTTGAGTAAAAGCTTATGGTAAATGGTTTCCTTAGCTATGGTCTGCGTAAGAACCCTGGGCGGTGCAATGGGCCATGGTGTTGGCAGCGGCTTGATTGCATGAAAGGCCTGCCATGGGTTCTGGAGGGGGGAACTTGCACACGGCTCGGAGGTACGGCTTGTCCACGTGGCTCCTGAAACTCTTTGAGGAGGTCGGCCTTGAGCACCGGTATTTGGCGGCCGTGGCCTACGCACTCTCAGGCCGGAGGATGAAGCCGGGACTTTCATGCCTATTTGGGTTTTCTTGTTTCCGTCTTGCTTTCTTTTGAATAAGTGTGATCCCTCACCCGAGGGAGACATTTGCGTGCGTTTCCATGCCTTTTGAACACTCTCGCCCTTGTTCGGGAAGCAGCACTTCTTCATGATTGTGCCGGGATGTTCAGAGTTGCCGGATCCTGTAGATAATCCAAATTGGCTGTGAGTCAATTTGAAAGGTCCGGAACAGGGTCCGGAACCCACACTCGATCCGGACCGGTGTTCCAGACTTTCGTTCCAGACCTTGCCTAGAAAGATGTTCCAGACCTTTCGTTCCAGGCCTGGTTTATGTGAGCAATTGCCAGGCTAGAGTACCGGTTCAGGTTGTCACTTCCTTGAGCGTTTCCCCTGGGGCTTGCAGGAGCATGTGGAATGCTTGTTTTACTGTGGTTGCCAGCTGTGTTTGCAAGCATGCCTGCAGCAGCAACAATAGCTCCGGAACGCACGCTGCAACGAAAAGGGCATGGTGATGGAGTCGCGAAAGGTTCGCGAAAAAGACATATTTTCTCACGATTTCAGCCGAATTTCCCGGAAGCAGGCATTGATCAACTGCCGTCTCTTGCGCCGAGCACTTTGTCTTGCGCTGGCGGATTGTTGTTGGCAGGAGGGCTTTGAAAGTGAGATCTTCAAATTAGGCAGTGGAACCACCCATGCAACAATTTAGGCGAGGTGGAGGAACCGCTCTTCAGGTTTGGGCCGTTGGCGAGCTTCAGCTTCAAGGTTTTGGTTGGCCGCCGATGTTCTTCGGTTCACCCTTCCAGGTCTTGCGCGGTTGTGTTTGTCAGGAGCCACAGATGTATCACATGGTCGCTTCTCCGCAATCGAGGGTTCAGTGCTGGAAGAGAAAGTGTTGCTTTGGCTTTCTAAGCTGCGGACTTGCGCCAGATCAAGGTGGTGACTCGTGACGACAACCGCGCCAACAGTGACTGAGCATAACGAAGCTGAGCAAAACAAGCTCCTTTACAAGCGGTGTGCCAGGCGAAGTCACAGCTCGCATAACTGTAAACCTTGGCTGTGATCAGGGGCGTTCGTTGTCCACCCACTACCTTCCATTCACGCTTGTGACGCCAGGATAGGAGGTGTGTAGCAACTAGGAACGACCAGCTTCACAAGTCGCCCTGAGGCGCGGTCTCGGCTGGTAGGTCTGGGGGGCGTTCTGGGCACAAACTTTGACCTACGCGGTCTTGAAAACTCCAGCTTCAGCAGCACCGCTTCATACATTGCTTACCTTGTTTGTCTGGCTGCTTGCGCCGCCGCCGCCAGTCGGGCGTGTGCTCCGCTTTTTTGGGTTAACTCCGCAGCGAGAATTCTTGCCCTTACGCTGGTCACCTGGACGATCCTTGCCGCCTGCCATGGCTGGCATCGGTGTCCCAACCCACCACTTCAGGAAAGAAGCATTGGCGTCTCGAACTCGAACCGAAGTCATCGCAATGATGCAAAGGTGACAATGATGCCAGGAGGGCAGTGTCGCGAGACCGTGCGCCCCTGGTCCCTTAATTCATCCAGCCGCCCGCCCACCCATCCACCCCCCCTACACTACATGAACGCGTGCTTGAGGGCTCCACACATGTCTTCCCATAGGCCCGGAACAACAGACCTTACGTAACTGACTCGTTCCGAGCGTTCGGGTCACCGCGGAACGGCCAAATTTGTCGGGTGTGCTGTATGTACTCCCTGAAGGTTCAACTTTGTCTTAGCCATGTCCGTTTCCGGGAGGGTAACTGACCATTTCATGCTTAGATTGTATATTTATGTTTCATGACGCTTGTCTCCTTCTCCTTTGACTTGCCTGAAAGCACTGAGTAAAAATAGGGACTTTCATAAATCCGGGATATGAGCATCTTCGATTCTCCCCACGTTACGGGTCTTGGCAGGTACCCGCTATCCTATGGGCAGATACCATGTTCCAGTCAGAGGTTGTCCAAAAGTTGTCGGGTGAGGCGGCACAAAATGATCTCAACGTCCTGACGAAAGTGCTCCGCCAAGTGGCAGGAACAGCCATTGGAATCGAATGGCGGAAGGGAAGGGAACAGCTCTCAAGAAGGCGACCACGGGAGGTAGGGCGGGAAAGAAACACCTTGAAAAGTGGTGAGCAATGCCCTTGAAAAGTACCACAAAAGTTTGAAATCCATGCCGCGAAAAAAGCTAGTGTAGCTGATTGAAACACACAATTGAAAAGAGGCCGGGGCATTTGGAGTTGATGGGCATGCCCAAGCACGGTTTCCAAAGCCTGAAGAAGTATGCCCTTTGAAGTATACCCTTTTTGTACTTAAGCTGGCCACGCGTTTGTGTTTTAGGAGAACAATAGGAAACAAAAGGCGACTTCACCCATTTTAGGGCTTCCAATGTGTGTGTGTGTGTGTGTGTTTGTGCGTTCTTGAGGGTATTCTTTCTGGATTGGGAGTTCTCGATTTTGAGACAAGCCCAAATCCGGATTCTGAGTCACATACTGAATTGGAGGAGCCCATCCACTCGCCAGGTGTGCCTGGCTGTGTGGCCTCAGTGCTGCTGCTTCGGTGCCTGCAGCCTTGGCGGCTGCTGGCGCACCTCGGCAGATTCTGTTTTGCCTTGAAGCCAATCCCAGAAAAGGCACACCATGTCGCACCCAAACAGACAAACGCAGAGCAATGGACGCAGTGGATCCAATGCTGATTGAGACAAGCACTAGTTTGGGTGGGATTAGAGTCAGGCTGGAAAGCCACCATGAGGAAGCCTTCAGGGACCTTTGTGATACCAGAGCTGCGGCACTCAAACAATGCATGAATTGAGGAGGGGCATGGTTTTAGCCATTCCCGGGGTTGAGAAAGGCGGTTGTCTCCAAATAGGCGGAGGGGGAGGTGTCTGATTTTGTTTCTTCTCGAGAACAAACACGCCCAGACTCATTTGTTTAACAGCCAAGGACAGCAGAGGGAGTTGCAAATAGGGGAGGACCAGGTGGGTGCAAGCGGTGTCATTGTTCCTCTGTGATGAGGAGTGTTTTTTGGCGCTTTGGCAAAGACCTGTCGCACTTGCTTTTCTAAGTAAGATCTGTCCTAAAAATGCGGAAATGGGGACGAATCCCAGCCTGACGGGAAGAGCCTGTTGCATTTGGGATGGGCTTCATGGGTTGCCCGGTGCCTGTGCCGACACTCGAGGGGATGTCCAGCCGTTTTCTCAGCCTTCCCAAGGCTTCTCCCAGCGCAAGGCTTCACTTGGTTCTGGTGTATTCCTGCATAGCAGCCTTTGCAAAGTGGGCATCCACCTCAGGTGTCAAAAGGTTGTGGGTACCTGGAAGACAGCGCACGTATACAGTGGCCCCCAGATGAATCAATCTCAGTTTTTTGGTCAAGCAAACTAACACCCCAGAGGGTCACTTGGAGTAAGTTGGGAGCAAGCAGGACACACATCTCCCAGGTTCTGGCTCCTGTGCACATCCCTGAGCTGTCTCAGTATAAGTGCATGCCCCAGAGAGATGTTTTGACCAGGGGTTCAGGGCTTGGAGCATGTGGGGCGGGATCCCGGGGCCCCTTGGTTGTCATCCCCGCATACGAATAGATTGATTTGTCTCCAACATATCACCTATAGGGGTACCCTCTGCAAAACATGCGCATTCGCCTTTGTTGCTTGTGGAAGGGCCCTGGCACAGCTATAACTGGTTTAGAACCTGAAGTGGAATCGTGTTTTTCTTGACCTTTTTGCCAAGATATGCTTAAGACCACTGCCCTTCTTCGGTGAGTTTGACTTTGGAAAAGAACCGAAGAACCTGAAAAAACAGGCTTGTCAAAGGAAATCCTGAATCCTTCCCTTGGATTTCGAGAATACAAACGGCCCCCTTTGTAGTGGTTTGAAGATTAGCATTGGTCAAGGCTCCCATTTGCCTGAAAAACAAGGAGCCCCTTATAGTGGAACTGTATTCCGAATTCACATGGGAGATTCCCGCGAATCGCGGCAGCTTGCTTCCAAGGTTGTTTCCAGCCGAAAGTGGGGGAGATGAAATTTAGGAAAGGTGGCCCGACAAATAAGGGAATGGCCAATTTGTTTGGCAAAGGAAATTCAAACTCCTCCCTCAAAGGAAATTTGGTGGAATTCGTTAGAGGGAGCCGCTTGAGTTTCACTCCCCTGCGGAGCCACATGGAACCTCGCAAAATCTACATTCGTAGAGAAATCTCCTTTCGGGATCCGATCCCCTTTCAGGCTGCACGCTAGTTTGAACAAACAAAGCAAATTAGCCAGAGTGTCAAGGGGCGCTTTTGTTCCAGTGTTGGAAGAGGCTTCACCCCCAACAAGCCAACGGAAAAGCAAGCCCAAAAGAAACCAAAGGGACATGACAAGCAGAATCCGCAGAACTGAAACCCCAATCGATCTTTCCCACTTGAAAGCAACAAACAGTTTCGTTCTTAACGCCAATTTCAACAGGAAGCTTTGAGGTCTCATCGAGTCCGGAGCACAAGGGCCTTTGCTGGCGGCCGCTTGCGTGTGTTTTTTCAACAGCGCCCGGAGCCCCAGAGCCCCGGAGCCAGTCTGGTCCGGGGGTCGCGGCGAAGCGAGCCTTGGGCACGGGTTGCCTCCGAATCGAGGGGAATCCAACTGGACTCTTTCCACTACCCTCAAAAGGGAAGAGAAAGGGCACTGGCAATGGTCCGTCTCCAAATGTCTGCAAGAAGCTCTCAGCTGGTCCAGGCATGGGGGATGGTCCCAACCTGAATGCGGGGCGGCCTTTTGCCATCCCCCTCTGTTAAAAAAGAGCCTGCCTTGTTTGGAACCCTTTGTCAGGACCGTCCCCATCAAACCTTTGCATTTGGGGGGTGTTTTAAGAGGTTTACAGTAAACAGGTTTGATGTAGGACCTCGCAAAAACCCGGTTAAATGAACTCCGTTCTGAAATGCCAAAGACTACCTCGCGTGTTGACCCTCACCTGAAAATTACATTTGTAGATTATGGTCCATACTTAGTGAAAGTCAAAACGTGAAATTGTGCCACTTGAGAGGTCCCATGAGAGTGGATCCCTGGATTCGAAAAGCAGAAATCCAAGTCATAGGAGGACCTTCCCCCAGAGTTGGGCTTCCTTCTCTGGACGTCGCACCTTCCTGCCTGAAGTGGAGACAAGCCCGAGGGAGGTCTGTTAAACCGCCCTTAGCTTCGAGGATAACAAAAACACAAAACAGTGTTTCTCGGTCTCCCAAACTTGTGCGAGTGGACATCCGGGACTGTCCTTCGGATATGGAATCCCCCAAAAGGGCATCGTTTTTTTTTTGGGGGGGAAGCCCCTTGAGAAAGCTCCGAAAAAGGGCCACCGTGTTTTCACCAAGAGACGAGCATTTTTATGCGCGTCAGCGAGGTCTCCACTGGGGTCTTCAACGTCTTGACCACTGTGCACCTCGGCGAGCTGGGTGCTGCTTTGTTTGGGATAGCCGGAGAAACACAGCCCCAATCCCAATGCGCCAGTAGCCACCAAGTAAGGCCGATTAGGGGCTATTAGCGTTTCTTTTGCCTTGTGTTTTCTGGGGGTGCTGGACATATGAATATGGTCACCACATACTAAAACGGTGCAGAAACCGCACTAAGAATAGAACACAGTATGCAGACAACACAGACAGTCGCTAGATACATCACACTTGGGCCTCCACTAGCAAAGAGTTACACGTGTCTGGAACTGATATACCAGCTAGACATATATATATATATATGAATCATATATATATATATACATATGCCATATGCTAGACACGTGCTAGGCAAATGCTAGACCAATGTCAGACAAATAGTAGACGTCTAATAGAATTGCACCGGACAAATAATCAGGTTTGAAGCAGCTGCAACTAGAATCAACTTTCATTAGACAAAGCTGTAATAACGACGTGTATGCCGGAAATATTGTAGGCATACTATGGACACACCAAACATATGCTTGGTTTCTCGTTCAGTTTCCACCCATGTTTGGAGGATGCCAACTGGTTTTGACACAGGACAGTTTTCATGTCAGACTTGAGCTTTGTTTTCAAAAGACATAGTACCCCAACACGTGCCCCACAAGAAATTGAATACTTATGCTTGACTTCCCGCTTTTCTAGTGCTAAGTTAGTGAGTGTCTGCCCAGTTTGGCTCTCCTTTCCAGACTGCCTCATTGATTTTGGTGGTCCCAAAGTGTTGATTTCCTCTCGGCATGGCCCTCAAACTGGCCCTGTTGAGGTGCATGTCCTGACCCGGGCGTGTGCAGGTGGGGTGCGCCTTTCAGCCCCTCTCTGCGACCCTTCGCCCTGGGAGCGCTCTCTGCCGGGAAGCCAAGAGGGGGATTCCGGGGTTGCGTTGCAAAGGAACAAGCCTTTTTTGAGGGTGTCCCAAAAGGAGGTTCCTTCAAAAAGGGATGTTCTTTGTTCATGGCATGTGAATGCACAGATTGCTAAGGGGGGCTCAATGACTACTAATTTATTTGTTGCTCCCATCTTCTTCAACGATCCACCACAACCTGTTCCAGTTGTTTGGGCCCCGTGGTAAATGTTGATGGTTTGAAGGGTTTGCGGGGTGGGTCCGGCTGGGGGGTTGAGGATCATCAACTATAGATGTTTGGGGGCTTGCAAGCTTGCTAGGGGGTCCTGTGCGATTGAAGGGTTTAGGATGTTTTACAGGGGCTTGGTGGGGCGAAGGATCTCTGTTGATCTTAGTTCAGCTTGGCAAACCATAGCGCAGACGGGTGTATTTACGTATTTGCATATATAGACAGAGGGGTGTGTTTACTATATCGCTTGATTAGACAATGGTAAACCCAGCCCCGAGCCGAAGTCCAGATCATCCCCCGTCGAGCCCCGCAGGTGGCGCTGCGCGTGGGCTCTATCTGCGCTCAGTTCGTGGATAGCGCGTTGCTCTCCAGCCACAAGGCGCGAGCTTTCGGCGAGCCGTCGCCGAGCTTGCGCAAACCAAGTACTCGTAGAGGAATCTTGGAGGGAGGTTAGCAGGTGGCCGCTTTTTGTTTTTGTTTTTGGCTGGGAAGCAAAGGGACAACGGCGTCCATGGTGGTTTGGTTTATCAACTTCAAGGGAAGGGGTATTTGCTGGGACTACAGGCTTTCAGAGCTCTTGAGATATTCAAATGAACTGCAGAGTCAAAGCAATTAGCAACTTTGTTGTAAAGGCTGCGGCAGTGTACAACTCGCCCCCCTGCTAACAAACAACGCGTGAAACGGCTTTGGGAGACTCTGCAAGCCTGAAACTTGTTTCTTGCCCCACAACCCGTCGGAAAACAACAAAAAGAAAAGAAAGGACGCCTGGCGATGCCGGGCAAACCGCTGTTGTGCAGTTGCCCTTCCCCCCGGCAGGAAAAAGCAAGACATGGTGTGTCAAGCTCTGAAACAGTATGGCCATGTATGTGTGAACATAATTAGTACCTTCCGTTGGACCATATGCAACGCAGACTCGCTAAACCTTGTTTTGTTGAAGAACCTCCTCAAAACACTAATGCCATTGTTAGTTCACACGTATTTAAACTACGCTTCTCTTCCCGCCGGGTGGTGTAAAAGAAACTAAAAAAGCTTGATCCCCACAGAAAACCGCGGGACAAAACCGAGTTCCTCAAGTACATGCCGCCTTTGAAATGCCATCGGACATGGAAACACATACATCGGCAACAACTCAAATGAAACAAGACCTTCTTTTTGTTGGCCATATTTTCTGGATGATTCTTAGGAAAGAAGAGATATTTCTGTGCAGTTGAGGGCTCTTAACAAATCCCAAGCTCTGAGCAGCTGCGTAACAACGAGGGCCCGCGGAGGCGAAAAATGCATGCGCGAAAGCGCGCGGCATGTTGAGATTATCCTGGCGTGCCTTTCGTGCACGTTCCTGGCTCGGATTTGAACGGTGCTCACAGGATAGCAATTGGTTCAGTGCTCTTGGTCACTTCGAGCCTTCAGCTCATTCTGAAAACAACACATGCGTATGGCGGAAGCATCACAAACAGCCCGAAACCAAAGCTCAAACCTGCAAGGTAAACCCGAAGCAAACCCAACACGAATCCACAGCCCGCCCAAAAATCGGATAAACCCCACCCACCTTAATCCCAGCCGAAACAGCAGCTCCAGCGGCATAGCCAAACCCAACACGAAATTGAAGCCCACACAAAAAAGTGCAACAGAAACACCGAACACCGGCACCAAACCCACCTGAACCAGCCTGCAAGAATCCCAAGCCTGCGCCACGCGCGCAGCCAACCTTAAACACAGCCGAAGCCAAAAGTTAAGCCCACCTAACACCCGCCCTCAGCCCAGCCGAAACCAAAGCTCAATGCTTCAAAACGGCGCTGGGAGGAATCGAGCCTGGGACCCTCCACCAGTCACGAAGTCGGATAAAATTCGGCTTGCTTTTTGTTGGTTTTTGGTGCAGACAACAAAGTTGTTGACATTCCAGGGGTTGCAAAGGGATCACCTGGTGTTGCTTTTACCCTTTGGTTTTAACCAGTTTTGACCTGGTGATTTGAGCCGAGGCTGGTAGGCTTCCGCTTGCGGTTCAGTGGCATGCCTTTTGAAGTGTGGGACTTTTTGTTGTGGGTGAGGCCCCCTTTGATGGGAGGGTACCCTTTTTGGGGTGGTTTATTCGGAAACCTGAGGGACACCATCCATTTTGGCGGTTCTCTTAGAGACAAATGCTGGGATCCCTTTCTAGGAAGTCAAGATGATTCCCAGGATTTCAGTTGCACTCTCAAACACGTCCACAAAAACGTAGTTGCAACTTGTACGAGCAGCCGAGAGCAGGGAGTTGCTAGTTCTAAACAAGCAAATGGGAAGTGTCGCTTGGCACCAAGGACGCTTGCGGGTACTCTTTCACTAAGATACCTTTGCCCTCTGATCGAGTGCACAATGGCTGATTGACCGCTGGAGTCCTTGTTTGTGTTTTCCCTCAGGATATCTTTAAGACACCTGCTTTGGCGCCCGGGTTGTCCAAAGACGTCCTGATTTGGGTGGAAACATGCCTCCTGCAAAACGTGGAGTCTGGATTCCTCCAAGCAATTTGGCGTCGGGCATGGAAAGTATGTCTTTCAGGGGGCGGCATTTGGGATTTGTTTAGCTACCCACAAGGCTCATGACTTCATACCCCCAAGAAAGATCGGGAGCCTGAGGGTCGGCGTCAATCCCGTGGCATCTTCCAAAGTGGAAGTTGCTTAAACTTCGATATGGGGCCTTTTTGAGCCGAGTTGATTATGAGTGGCATCAGGTGCCGGAGATGACACTGCTGCCGGCGGCGCCTTGGACATAAATCCGACCACCCGGATCGTCAGTGGGTTTTCGCCCAGCAACTGTGGCTGGTTGTAGGCTTTAATCTGGGCAAACAGCGGCAATCTGGCGATCAACGTTGTTTTGTTTATGTTCGAGTGTCTAATGAAATTCTTTCCCAGTTGCTTTGGAAAGTTTCTGTAATACTGATCTGAAGGGTCACCACATTCAACTGCGTCAAGCTGAACATGATTCTGGGGGTCTCAAGATCGCTTTTGAACTTGGGGATGTAGACGTCGAGAGTGTCACTCTGGAGCCAGTAAAAGCCGTCAGAAGCCCAATCATTTTGTGGGTGACTTGGTCTTGCCCAGGGTATGAGGAGATGAGGCGTGCTGTATGTTGCTTATTATTGGCACATGCAGTCTACCTGTTTGGACGTAATCCAGAACGGGGAATCCACCCCATGGCTGCGTTCCTCCGGGAAGCCTTCTTCCCACTGTTGACACATTGAGGATGTGTTTCTGCGTGAGTCTGAGGTTTGATTGAGGAAGACAGGGTTGTTGGGAGTCAAGCAGGCAAACAGTTCGAAGGGAATCCACATGTACGCACTGGCAAATTAACACTGAAGGTCCCCAAAAGGAGACTCCTCTAAATCGGATAGCCGTTTGGGTTCCCCACGTGTGTGTTCCTCCTTTAGTACAGGAGGTTTCCTCTTTGCCATTTCCTCATGCCGAGAGTGCACGAGATTGGCAGTCGGGTTCCCTCATGTTCCATGTTGACAAGGGGAGTAAAGCGCACCATTGTAGGGTGTTGGGATGGTAGGTCCTTGTGATTTTCCTGGTGCTAGTATGACGGATTTACTCATTGCGCCTGCAGAAGGCTACGTGTACGCAGCATTGGGCGAACTTGGTTTCTAACATCTGCGCCTGCAGAAGGCTACGTGTACGCAGCATTGGTCGAACTTGGTTTCTAACATCCGCGGACCCATTCAAAAGTGTATCTAAACTGACTGCACTGTTGGCTAAATGTGTTGATTTGTTGTTGTTTTCTCTTGTTCGTTGCAAGAGGAAACTAATGTTGATTTTCCGCCGCCCTGCCATCAGCAGTGATGAGGAGATGTTAAAACAACAGCGGTCTCAGCACAGTTCAGCAGGAGCGGCCCAAACCTTATGTGGCAGGCGTGCCTTTTTTTGAGTTGGCATGTCCTGCGTTTTGGGTTTGTCGAACATGGGAATGCAACAGGACGCCACCAATCGCAGAAGTGCAACGACCCGCTGTTTGTGGGCTCCGTGCTATCCGCTCTTGAGAATATGGGGCTTCCTTCCCAAACGCAGGATACAGAACCTATGCCAAGAGGGTAGGTGTTTAATGTATATGCTTCCCCAGATCGAACTCGACTTGTTCGGTTTGGGGACACAACATGGTTTGTCACAAAACGGGCTTTGAACCCACAACATGGCAGTTTCCTTTCAATTTCCCTTGAAACGAACCTCAACCAGGGTACCAACTCAAAAAAGACAGCCATACAGGCCTTCTCAAAAGAGGCCGAGAGATAGGTTTTAGAACCCCGTGCTGAGATTGCCGATGGGGGTTGGGGTGCCGTTCACCTGATTTGTTTGGAAGGGTCCCAGGGTCTGTCCTTTTGCTGGCTTTACACGGTCTCAAAAGCAGTTGAGTTGGTTGCTTCCAAAGTGTCAATTCGGTTTTGCCCATCCTTCTCTTTTGCCCTTGCCAGGGGAAGCCCAAACCCTTGTTCTTGTCGGTTCAGGCAAAAACCCTATGATTGGGGTTTGACCCACGACGAGAATCCCAGCGAGTTTTCCCAGAGGTTCTGCTAGTCCTCTCAGCGGCCGCGTGCTTCGGCATCGCTTAAGCTGCGGCGGAAGGCTCATAGCAACGACTTCGGGCGACTCGGGCGAGTCTAGAGCTTTCTTTGGTTGTCCTGAACTTGACTGATCTATTGGACCCTAGCGGATGGTTTTTGTTGCATGAACTAACATTAAAACGCTCCGCCATTTTTGTGACTGGTAGTGTTTGGGAGCAGGGTCCAGGTTCCAGAGTTTGGGAAAAGTTCGGAAACTCAGGCTGGGGATATTGTCAGGTTTTGTCTGGTCCTTTTCAGACATCCCACTTCGATCGCCAGTTGCTGAGTTCGCCCAACTGTGATAATTAGTTTCTAGGGTGAAGTTATTGAAAACCGCAGTAACTTGGCTATCTAGTTACAACCTCTTGGAACAGATTCGATCCAGATAGGGTTTGTCTTTGGATACCTTTTTGGGTTAAGCATCTCGGCTATTCCCGGTGACCCGTGAAGACGTGAGTGAGTCGGGTCGGGCGTCCCATTTTCTTTGATAAGGGAACTCCAAGACGACAAGATATAGAGGGATGGGAATCCCAAAGGGCCCACGTTCCACAACGTGAACTGGATTCGCGTTGAAGCTTTAGGGATTCCTGACTAAAGGGCCGCCCTTCACCTTTTAGGTTTCCAGTAGGCTATAGTCCCACCAACCCGAAAGGCGACCATTTGTCAGCCAGCTAAGTGAATAAATGTTTCTTGTGGAGCCTCTTGTCATGATTTGTGTTGGGCAAAAACAACCCGATGTGGCGATTGAAATCTCATGGACATTGAACTCGGCAGCTAATGGCGACCTCAGGGTGGCCGACTCTCACCCATGGTCTCTGGAGTTTCCCTCAACATCGTCATGTTATTTTTAAATGGGCTCCCTGGTACGGTGTCTATATTTGCAGTTATATATATAAAGATGTATACATATGTTTGCACATACATATACACATTGTCGCTTGACAATATATATATATATATACATATATATATATATACATACTACGTAAATACATGTAGATACATATTAGATATATATATATATATATATTTGTTTGAAGGGTCGGCGGAACCCCGTGCCAGGCAGTGACGATTGCCTGGACTCGCCAACTGCAACTGGCGACTGGCTACTGGCTCCGACGACATCTGAAGGGCGACAGCAGGAAGATCGACCTGGCCAGAAGTATCCAGGCAAGCGATTCAAGTGGTAAAAGGTTTTTGTGTAAAAGGGGTTTTTGAATGGGGGTTTGCTTGGTTGGCTATTGTTTAGGACCTTTTTTGTTTACATACTTGGGTTCGAAGAATATGGACCAGCGTCTGAACACGTCAATTGTAGTTGGGGGCACACGCTGAGACAGATCTCTTGGAACATAAAAAGCTTAGGAACTCCCGTTTAAGTAAGATCTTCCCTGTTGTTCACGTATTGTTTTTGTTTTGTTTTTGTGCTGTGTGCCGTCAGTGGCAACCAACCCAACGATACTATTTCTGCTGACCTGCAAACACTGGTGGTAGAATGGTGTGTTTAGTTGGAGGCCAGCGCCGTAGTCTTCACTGGGCTGCCATCTGGCGTTCGGCTCAGAGCCTTCTGACCTCAACGGCGAACGGCCAGTGAGACATCCCAGGCAGGAGGCTGCAGCTTGGCAGATCCAAATTGCCTGAGAGAGAGAGAAAGCGCGTGCGGGAGGGACACTTACGAGCCTTGCAGGAGACTTGAGTGTGTTCCCCTTGAGGGACTGGCTCATGTTCGCTGAACCAGGCTGGACCCCTTTCATGTTTTATTGTCTTCTTCGGTCTGTTTAGGCCATTTCATCGGCCGGGGCCAAGGTCAGATGCATGCGGACCCTCAGCGCTTGGCAGCTGCTGGAATGGTTCGCTCCGCTGCCCTTTCTGCGGAGCATAGCCTACCCGCGCTATTCCAACTAGTCCGGCTTTTCGCTAGTCAGTATAAAATTGCCAGCCTCCTCAGAAACAATGAGGTTGCCCGAAAACATGTCTCTGTCTTACAACAGAATTGCCCAAACAGGGGGTATTTGGAGTAGGGGGTAGGCTCACCGGGCGGCGCGGCTGGATATGTCGGATACCCAAAGCTCGTGGTGTGACTGGCGGGTCGCTGCGTGTGGCACATCGCTGGCCGAGCGCTGCACCTCGCGGCTTTGCGCCTGGCTGGGCTTTCCAGAAAGTGCGAGACCGCGTGACATGCAGTTTGTCCTGACACATTTGTTTCGCTGGAAAAGACAACCAGGGCTCCAACTTGATTTTCAACCAACAAAGGGGCCAGTAACATCAATGCCTAATCTCAACGCCTAGTCTTTTGGTCGGAAGGAGAGAGTCCAGCTGAATATTCTCCACTTAGAAGTCTAGACTTCTAAAAAACGAGAGGTCCAACCTTATTTCAACCGAGAAGGGGGTTAAACACCCACTAGCAAACCCTCGTGGTTGAAGTTTACTGGGGGACGGTCCGACCCTTCTGCTTATGTCTACCATCGATTGGGTAGACTCTTTGAATGGAGGTTTTGATGCAGACCCAGTCCGTGGTTCTCTCTTCGGGTGGGTTTCCTTTCACGGATACCCTAGAAAGGAAGGCTTGGTGCCCGAACTGTTGTGAAAGTGGTGCCCCGGGCCCGCTTGTTAGGGAAGGAGGTGGCAGCCGTTGACCAAAAACATGTGCTATGAACTAATTGGGCTTTGGCGCACACGCTAAACATGCAGGTATCTGGGTATCTGGAGTGGGTCATCTTTCGATTGACTTTGCCACCTCTCCATGGACATTCGCCAGAGCTAGTCAGGCCTTGGTGGCGGAGAACACGGCCCTCAGGAACTTCTCTCAGCTGCTGGCGACTCGGCTGGAGGTTTATGCAAGCGCTGGCCCGGTGTTACCCTTTTTGTTGGTGGTTCAAGAGGGAAGCCACAAGGAAGCCCATCATTTCGAGGGCTCTAATTTGATGCATTGGGTGTGGCTTCCGTTTTTGAGAGGGGGAACCCGAAAGGAGACTCACCATTTTGGGGATTGCCAGCACACCCAAACCAGAGAATTGGGATGTGGAACAATGTAGGTGATTTAGGTGGTTTTCACGCATATTTATTTACTGCTGCAATCCCGATTTGCGAATTCTTTTTCCCAAGAGGGGGTTGGACAAGGGACATGTCCGATTCGGCTTGCAATGTCCAGGACCACCCGTTAGTTACCATGGTTTCGCTTCCTCGACCCCTTTTGAGATGCTTTGAGGCTGGATTTGTTGTTGTCATGTGTTTGTTTAGAGAAGACAAGAAGCAGTATCTTTGTCCCTCCAGTTTGCTCCTTGCTTTGTGTGGTTTCCCATGGCTTCTTGTTTGTGTGTGTGTGTGTGCGCGCCCTTTGTTAAGCGTCGGCCTTGTTTGAGCCCATGGTGGCGGGGGGCCACAAACCACTCCAAAGACCACAAGCGGCGCCCTTTGAAAGTTCACTCAAGTTCACTCGAGGGAATCTCGCAGAAGTTGAGCCTTTCAAAGTTTAACCTATCGAGAAACCTGGCAAGGAGCCCGAGGATTGCCTCTCGCCAGGTCTCGAGGTCTGGGTTTGTTTTAACATTAGAGCACCAATCTGGTCGAAGGGAAACTAAGGGACAGGTCAATTGATGTGATCTGTTGCCTCTTCTATCCCAAGCAGCACCTTGTGCTCCCCAGCGAATCAAAAGGCGCCAATACCCCCCTTTCAGGGGTTCCCATTTTCAAGCGCTCCAGCTCAAAGTGCTCTCCCAAAGCCAAAACTCCTTTGTGTACCACTATGTATGGTATGAGGTTATACAAATAGGTTTGCCTTGTTTTGATGATGCCCTTTCAGGGGTTGTCTTTGAGGGATCCAGCTATCATGTCAGTTTGCCAGCGGACACTTATTTATCATGGAAAGCCTGGTTCTCCCTGACCCTGTACAGAGCCTCAAGAGACATCGAACGTTTTAATCTGCGCCAAAGAATGAGCTAGGGGTCCCTTTATTTCCCTTTCTTGGTCGGTTTAAACATCACCGTTTGGGCCCATGTGTTTCCCTTGGTACGGGTGATGTGTGAAGTGGAAACAGACAGAATCCTGAAAGCCCCTGCTGCAGGTCTACTGCGTCTCAGTTTTCGGCCCCCAAACTGTGCCGAGCGCCTTCCCGCTGAATGACTCTGCCGCTTCCGCTCGGAAGCCTAGCCCTGACGGCGCGGTGGCACCGTTGGTGCAAAGGGGGAAGGATGCCTTTGGCATGCTTAAAGGTTACTTACTAGTTACTGGAGTTGCTGGTAACTAGTACCTGGTAACAAGTTACTACTCAGCGGTAAGCCGTGCTGCCAGGGACACACACACACACACACACCCGCGCCCGAGCAACACGGAGCTGCTCAACCGCGCTGGCTGCTGACGAATTTGGGGCAGCTCGTGGAGGACAGCGCTGAGACTAACGCGCTACACCCTGAGCTGGTGAAGAAGCTCAAAGATCTCTGTGGCGAAGCACAGTGCTGATGCGGCCAAAGTGGTCAACTCGCAGGACCATGTCGGACTGGACGGTAAGGGCGCAGCAAGGAAGAAGTAGCAAGTAGTAATTTGCAAGTAGTAAGTAGTAGGTCGGCTCATTCAACAACTTCAGCTGGGTTTGTCTGCAAGTGGGGACCCTCCCGCAACAAAACGGGGATGTTCACTTGTTTCCTTTTCACACACACCCCTCCAAAAGCGGGCCATCAAAAACACTCCCGAATTGTCTCCCACCCACTAGCAAAACTCACCTAACAGCAAATGACCCTGAAGATTCCCATTCCGGTGGTCAAACACAAGGTGGTCAAGGTCAAACACCACTTTCGGGGGATTTGGGAAACATTCCGCTTCCAGCACCCTTGTGCAAGAGGATGGGGGCCCGGGGTTGGTCTGCAACCTGGAGGCCAGTCTTCTAATTCGGTGCTACTCCAATAGCCATTGTGTTGTTCTAGGAACAGACTGAAACGACGGGTCCCTTGGTTGCCTATTCTTTGTTTGAGCTGCAAGGCTGCGATTTTTACGGGAGCGCCCTGAAACATGTTTGGTGGACATAAGTCCCCATGTCAATGTCCCAATCAAGGACCAACATCTCTAAAAGTCATTTTGAGCTGTGCCAGAGCTGAGGCAGTTTTGGGGGGACCTGCCCTTTGAAAGCTTCCGGAGTTCTGACGTACATTTCGGCCTGAACGGTGGTTTCGAACATTGCGTTTTTGGAAGACAAAAGAAGAAGAAAAGGGAACCCTGAAGACAAGCCCTGTTGTGATAAGCAATCCCATAGAAAGCCAGCAGCCAAAGGGCTGTGCGCTGGTTCATCGTAGTATGAGTGGGAGCCCCTCAGAACAGCTGGCTTCCTTCTGAACAACCAAAAGTGGGCGTCCGTGATTTTTTGCGTGGTCAGCATTCGCCATTCTCCCGCAAAGGGGATGACGCAGGCGAGAAATCCACCCAGCAAATTACTTGGAAAGGGCCGCGAAGCTCTCATATAGCTGAACGTGAAGCTTTCGTGGAAAGTGGAAGCCCCATTTCTAAACGGAGTTTCCACAGGCTGGATGCATTTGTAGACTCTTTTTTGCAGAGATCGCCTGACGCTGGAACCTAAGCTTTTCCGGATTCCATCTGGAAAATATCAAACATTTTTAACGCCCTTGTTGGGAACCACTGGAGCGCTAAGCGACCAATCGAACTTGAGAGGTTCCAACCTTTGTGCGCCACCTCCGTGCAGATTCTGGTTCCAACCGAGTCTTGAAATCTTCGCCCCATGTTGAACCCTCAAACTGGGTTGGTGGTGTTCTCAGGGGGCTACGCACAACCCAGGTTGCTCGCTTGGGAGTGGTTGTCTTAGTGGTAGTGGTAGTGACAGTGGCAGGGGTACTCTGATTGGTAGTGGTAGTGCAGTGGTACTGGTAGTGGTAGTCGCAGTCATAGTCGTCATCGTTAGTCGCTCATAGTCGTCATCATAGTCGCGCTTGTACTGGTAGGGTAGTGGTATTGGCAGTGGTGGTAAAAGTGTGCAGGAGTGGTGGTGGTGGTGGTGGTGGTGGTGGTGGTGGTGGTGGTGGTGGTGGTGGTGGTGGTGGTGGTGGTGGTGGTGGTGGTGGTGGTGGTGGTGGTGGTGGTGGTGGTGGTGGTGGTGGTGGGTGGTGGTGGTGGTGGTGGGTGGTGGTGGTGGTGGTGGTGGTGGTGGTGGTGGTGGTGGTGGTGGTGGTGGTGGTGGTGGCGGTGGGGGCGGTGGGGGCGGTGGGGGCGGTGGGGGTGGTGGTGGTGGTGGGGGTGGTGGGGGCGGTGGTGGTGGTGGTGGTGGTGGTGGTGGTGGTGGTGGTGGTGGTGGTGGTGGTGGTGGGGGCGGTGGTGGTGGTGGTGGTGGTGGTGGTGGTGGCGGGGGTGGTGGTGGTGGTGGTGGTGGTGGTGGTGGTGGTGGTGGTGGTGGTGGTGGTGCCGGTGGCAGTAGTGGCAGTAGTGGCAGTAGTGCTGGTGGTGGTAGCAGTTAGTGGGAGTAGGTTTAGAACTAGCACTAGCACTAGTACCACTAGTATTCCTAGTAGTAAGTAGTACCATCAGGATAGGCGGAGTATTGAACCACATATGACACATGCGTGCCAACAATATTGGCGGCAATTTGAGTAGCGCCCGATAAATGCCATTTCCGAAAAGTTCCATCCTTGTACATATATTTATATATTTATATATTATGTATATAGAGCTTATCAGTCTGGCATGTCCAAGAATGTAGGACCTTCGGTCAGCGTTGGAAGGGCATTGCTTTCTGGTTGACAATTGAAATTTGCCAGCCGAAAAGGGCTCAAGACGTTTGGCAATATGAGCCACCAATCTACACCAGTCTACCAAAGGTTTACATACACTTTAACGAGGCCAGAAAAAGGGAGCTACCCATGTTTGATGCCCCTCATCCTGGGAAGAAATGTTTTCCACCACCTTTCTTTCCGAGGTAGCACGGTTGTTCGACTGGTTGAGAAAGGCGTCGTTTTGATTTAACGAATGTCCCACCCCGTTTGTGAGCCACCCTCTGCACGTCCAACAACTTTGCCCCCTTGGTTTCTTTTGACCACTGGCCGCTGCGCCCACGTGGCCCTGTTGCTGCACTCCAGCTTGTGTTATACGGCCCAGACCCGTGTAAGCAGCCGGGTCTGCCTTCAGAGGCGTGTAATGGGTTCTCAAGCGGGTTGGCCGTTCATCAGTATGCAACATCAGGACGCGTGGGAGGACCAAAGTCGCCGCATCTCCCGCGTGTGCAATCCCACTTGTTCGATCCCATTTAGGCCCGCTCAATTCTCAAAAACACCCTTGGCCAGAGGAGACTTTGGCTTGGCAGGGTTTTTGCCGGACGCCGACTGCTCTGCAAGAGCGTGAGCGATGGAAGTACCAATGTAAACAACTCAGTTGGAAGACATCGGCCTTTCGCCAGGCAGGGCCCCCAGCCCTGGAGATAGCATTCGGCCCGACATGCTGACCCTGCCCCTGACTGAACAGTTGTGGAACAGCCACGTGTAGGGATTGTCGCCCATGGACGCCCGCCACTTTCAAACGCTTTTGCCAGCAGAAACGAACTGAGGATATAGTTGGAAACGTTATGTATTGCAGCGAGCGACCCTGATTTTCGATTAGAAAAGGTGGCGCCGTGTCTCAGCAGTGGCCCAGCTTCCCAACAGCCGCCAGACGCGGCCAGTTGAGACTTCGTCGCTTCACCCAACGCGTCTGATGGTCCCTTTCGGCCCATCCAAAATAGTTTTGAGCAACTGGTTCTCCCGGTGTGCCGGAAGGTACGCTTGTTAAAGCGGGCTTGTTGTTTGGAACGTCCAATGGGAAACCTGGGCCGGCCACGAAGAAGGGCAGTTTTGTTCCTGGAGCACCACTCCTTTCCTGAAGCCAAACAACTCCCTTGTTGAAGATTTACAGGGTTTTGAGCTCAGGCGTTGGTTGTTTGCTTTGGTGCATTGATTTGTGGCGCAGCGTGGCACAAGAAACCACCCTCGAACATGGTTCCTACATAGCCGGCAGACAGGTTGCTGCGTTTATCCATAACATCAGGCACAATTGCCGGGAGACCAGCGGCAACTTGCGGTCCAGGTAGACCAACAAACGTACATGCGTAAATGCACTCGCTCCGAGGATCCAAGGAGAGATCTCTCCGCAAACGATCGTTTTTGGTTCAGAGAATCGGCACGGCAACTTTCTCCCCACACGCGGGCGCTGGCGGCACCCGCGAACGCTTGCAAACGTTTTCGAAGCTTGCGAACGCACCAACACGTCTCGCAATCAAGTTCTTTCCCATAGACCCTTCAACAACGGAACCCTTTGCTACGCATCCGAGGAAATATGTAGCTCAGAATCCCCGAAAAACCAATGAAGAATGAATAGGACAGCTTTGGTTTTCCGGCACATGTAATTAATGCCCTCCTTGCAATTCCCGCACTTGGGTTAGCAGCAGGTTTGGGCTGGTGGCATGGAGGTTTAGGGCCTATCAATGGTAAACATCCAAGGTTCGGCTCGCGAGCGCTCGGAGGCCTCCAATGTGTCGTTGGTAGACCTGGACTTGGACTTCCTGGAGCTGGGAGGCGCGAATGGATGGGCCGAATCAACCGTACCGGCTTTCTGGAAGGGATGGTGCAACACGGAGAACCAGAAGGAACCGCAATTGGGGTGAGACAAGCCATGACAAGCCCTTGAAAGGCGCCCTGCGGAAACAAACGCATGTCAGTCGGTTCGTGCCCGCGAATGCACAAAGGTTCGTCCCAAATCAGATTTGGAGCTCTCAACAAACGTCGTAGGGGTTGTGGCGTTTGGGAACGTAGGGACGGTGCGGTTGTTCAGCAAAGGCCTACTTTCCGATGCCAGGAGCTTGTGGCGGAACTTCTTGACCAGAATCTAACCCAAACATGTCGCAGCTTGAAACACTTGCAGGATCCTAAGGTTGACATGTTTGAGGATTTTGCGTCCGTACACAGTGTTGAATGTTAACGTGGAATGATGTAGACATTGGAAAATCAGATGGTCCAAGAGACCAAAGCGTCGTTTTTTCTCCCTGCTTTATCCTCGCCTGAGGTGAGGGTATGTGGTTGCTAGCCTCACGTCAACTCACCCCCTTTAGAGAACCCTGCTCCAAAGTGATGCAGAGGAACCAACACATTTATTTTTTTGAGTTCTCTACTCCCGCTAACCATGGGTTTCGTCCCTTAGGGCCTCGCTACGCTCACTTCGAATACACCCTGAATTCGGATATTCCGACTAAACCAACCCAAAAAATGCCTAAAAACAATTCAGTCAAAGGAACCCTCAAGTTCATCTCTATCCTCGGACTACTTGCGAATTTACTCCCCAGGAACCATCACTTGGCGTGCGCCTGACGCTGCGCCTTGGTGAAATGGGGAGGGGAAACCTGGTCACGGAAATACTGGTACAGAGTCACAGTGTGGATTGTGGCATCTAGTTTCAGCGCAGTGTATTTTCATCTACTAACATTCAATCCACCAGGGCTTATGTAATCTGCTGTTGGTTTGGGGACCCTACCCAAATTTCCGACCAACAACAGGGGGCCGACCAATGTTTTTCATGTCTTCGCGTGTGATGCAGTTGTGTGGTTCATTCCCATAGTAGCGGATGTCACGTTAGAGGAGACTCCCCAAGAGCATCACAGTTGGCAACTTGAAGATTCCCATGCATCCATGATTACTTTATCAACTGTTTTGGCCAGCGCCCTTTCGCCCAGCCAAGATCACTACACTGCCATGAAGAAGGTTGCTTGCAGTTATTCGATTCTGCCCAGGCCTAAGGTTAGCAATAAACTGAGACCTTGAAAACAAGGAGGCGAGCAAGGCAAGGCATCTGGTTTGTCAGTTCTGTGCATTTCTAGCGGGGGCTGCAAAGAAGTGGGTTTGTTTGCCGACATACTCCATTGGATAGTTTCAGCTGCCACCTTGAATCCTTGAAACTGAGTCCTTCGGCCTTCGATGGTCGTGGGGAAAGGTCGGGTTTTGGGTTGACGGGTCCTTGCGTGTTTGGTCGTGTTTGGTGTTGTCCGGGCAGGGATTGGGGGGATCCGGGATAAAATTGGTGCTCTCAAGGACAGAGATCGGTCGAAACGAGATGCGCAGAAAACCGGCTGGAAACTGGCAGAGAGGTCAGACTCGGAACGATTGGCCAGCCTCTTGAGAGGGTCTCATGACCAGTGGTTCAAAGCGGATACATTTGTCGCTTTCGCAAGCTTGGCAGATGGCCCCCCAACGGTCAAACAATCTGGGAAAAACTGGTTTAATTCTAGGGGGCATTTATAACGTCGTCAACCTGGTGCAACGATGGGCCGATGGGCGGATGGGCGGATGGGCGGATGGGCGGATGGGCGAGGTGCTTCCCCAAATAGTGAAGAGTTCCATCTAAACAACATGACATCTATAAGCTAGGACAATGAATCCAGGGTTATGGGGGAGCAGCCCCAGGTTTGGCCAAGCGCTTGACATGGCAAAGACAGCACCTGGGCACAGGAGGTTGCAAAATGCTCAATAGTCTATGTTCCACTTGGGAGGGACACCGCTAAATTTCCCAAACCAGGGCACTCACGAACTTTCCCATGTCATCTTGGGGAAACAAGTACCTTTGACCGCGCCTGACAGCCCTTCAGGTGGAATTTGTTGAAAGCTACGTGCTCTATTTGGCGTCCGACCTGGCTGGCAGCAACCGACCCTTGGACGGATGGGTGCCGAAAGGCGAATGCGGCTTATGACTTTGCCAGCTTTTCAGTATTTAGTCCCACTCCAAGCCGTCATTTCATGGGTATTGTTTCGATCAACAAAAAGTATGAACACATTTTGGTATGTCCAGATCATGATAGCATTGAAGTGTCATGACGGTTTTCATTGGTGGTCCAACTTGATCTGAGTGGGAACTATTATGACCCTCCAGGCTTTTGAGCCCCTCTTGGATGGTGTTTCGACATCAAACAGAAACCGACTCTCGCCAGACTGGCCCTTCTCCAGGTCCGGGTCACTTGGCGCCCAGGTACTTTGCTGCATTTGGTGCCCATGGGCGCGGCTCCCAGCGATTTGGGGGAAAACGGGGCAAACTCAAAGCGCCCGGCAAGAAACAATCCAATCCCCTAACAAAATGGGTGGCTTCTAAAGAACGACAAGTGAGATAACGGGGAATCAACCAGAAATATAGGGGGCCAAGTAACTAGTTTACTCCTACAACCATGCCTAAATTTGGTTGCTAATACTCCACACCACCTCATTCTAATTGTTTGGGCCCGTATCCTGTCCGGGGGGTCAAGTTTCTGGGCGTCGTGTCCGAACCCTACTAGTGGTTGACTTTGACACCAAAGTACATATTTCGACCAATGGAGCTTTTGCCCTTATTCTGGCCGCCAAGTTTGGCCTACGTTTGAATCCCTATTTCAAGAAGTGTTTGAACTCAATCCTAATCGCAAATCACCAAACGGTTGGGGGTCCAACTGAAGAGCCTTCAAAAGTTCGAGGGTGTTTGGGTTCACCTGAATTGCATCCCAACTCTTCCCCACGAGGCTCCAATCTCTCTTTTTTGGAAGTCGATTTATCCATGCCTGGGTTTTTGGGTACACCTATGATCTTCAGTGGGAAGCGCATTGTTTGGTGGCCACATTTTCCATCAAATCCATTTCCCCCCCCCTCCCTGTGCCTTCAGCTGGGGTCCATGGATTTTGGTTGCTTCGGATTCGTGAGTGCAGCCATTCACGCGGCAACCAGAACCCATGGTCAATCTTGAAAGAGTGAAGGGAGATGTCCCTTTCTTTTTGGGGCAATCCTGCTAGGCATCAACCAGCTTTTCCTTGGCGCGGACACCTCGCGTCTGCCCAGCCAGACCTATCTCCTTGCCGAAGCCTCGGAAGTTTGCAGCTGGGCCCCTGGAGCAGCTGTTGGGACCTTTTCATGTCCTGGCACAGGAAAGTCGGGATCTAGAAGCTGTTGGGTCCTTTTTGGTTCGTGTAGGGTGAGGAAAATGGGGTCCGCAAGCTTCTTGGTGCTTGATTCGTTTTGGGTTCTTTATCAGACAACGTATGTGACTTGTTTTGGACTAGCCACCTGTCGGTCGGCTTGTTTACATGGGGACTGATGTCCGCCAATCGTTGTTGAGGATCTGGCGTATTTCGATGTTTAGGCATGTCAGTAGGCTTGCTCCTGAATTTGATGGTCGTGGAATCCTCAACGCCGACCTGGCAACAGGACCACCCTGAGAACGCTGAATTTGGTTCCATGCGTTGTGTGTGTGTGTTTTCCTTGTTGTTGGACACGCTTAGTTTTTCCCCTGCGCCCAAAGAGAACCTCTAGTTTCCTGTGTTTTCAGAGTCCGTTCAGTTCATGACCAGTTTGGATGGCGTGTTTGCGGCGTGAGCACAAGCCGCGACCGGAACCCAAGTTTGTTCTTGATAGGTAAAATTGATTAGGGAGTGGAAGACCTTTTCAGGCAACATAGGTTCCTGGGAAGTCACACCCCTTGTCTGAACCCCTTTGGCCAATTGGAATTCCATTTGTGTTTTTCCCATGCGGGAAACAAAACCCCCGTTTCGGCGCGTATGGACTCTCATGGATCCAGGGAATCAGCCGATATGATTTCACCCCAAATCAGGCTATGGGCGCACTGTTGCACCCCCGGTGTATATACTCCGAATGACTCTGGGCCATAATATGAAGATAGATTAAACCTCCTGTTGCTTTCTAATAAGGACGGAAGGTTTGCGGAAGGATATGTACCATCATCGCATGAAGCACTGCTCATGTACTACACGTGTACTCAAAAGTTGCGATGCTTGAGCAAGGGCGGCTTGTGTGCTACGCTGGTACTTGGCAATCGCGCTGTTCAGGAAGCTCCGCGCAGGGGCGAGGCGGAAGGCCGTTTGTTGGAACAAGTAGTATTGGACAACCCTCGTAGCCCTCACAATATTATGGTTTTTGTTCCAATAGGGAACCCCTGGAATGGGTGCTTGCCTTTTGGATTCCCTTTGAACCAACCCAACAAAATTCCCTCAAAAACAGAGATGCCAGCATGTAATTATGTCTTTATATAAGAATAATAACAATAATGATTATTATTATTAATAATAATAATAATAATCAAAGGAAGTTTAGAAGGAAACTTCCGAGTTACGGAAACTAATTGAAAGCTAGACGGTGCAGGGAAGGAAGAAGAAAGAATGAAAGGCGCGCGAGAGAAAACATGCGTGTGCGTGTGGCGGTGGAATAGAATTTGCGAAAAGGAGCAACCCTCTGCGGGTTTGGTGGTGTGGAGCTGGCTGAAAGCTACCTCAGTCGCGGCGTCTGACGGACGACGGGTGCGGGACGGTCTCGGGACGGGGGCGGCGCCGGGACCATTGGCACGGCAACGCCGAGGTTTCGCAAGGTTTGAACTGCGTGGGAGGCGCGGCATTTTGGTGAGGTCGGGTGCAGATTTCGTGGCAGGCGCAGCACTTTCGCAAGGTCAACTTTTCTCAAGGTTTGAATTGCGTGGCAGGCGCAGCACTTTCGAAAGGTCAGGTGCGAAAATCGCAACTTTTAAGTACGAAAGTAGTACGCGAAGTCCACTTTTGCAGCTGGGGCTTGAAAATCGATAGGCAGATAGATAGATAGAAAAAGAGATAGAGGGAGAGATAAATAGATAGATAGAGAGAGAGAGAGAGATAGATAGATAGAAAGCGAGAGAGAGAGAGAGAGAGAGCGAGATAGATAGATAGATAGACAGAGAGAGAGAGATAAAGAGATAGAGAGATAGATAGATAGATAGATAGGTAGAGAGAGACAGATAGATAGATAGATAGATAGATAGAGCCAGAGAGAGAGATAGAGAGATAGATAAATAGATAGATAGATAGATAGATAGAGAGAGAGAGAGATAGATAGAAAGAGAAATAGATATATAAATAAACAGCAGATAGCTGGATAGACAAATAGATAGAGAGAGAGAGAGAGATAGATAGATAGAAAGAGAGATAGAGAGATAGATAGGTAGATAGGTAGATGGATAAAGAAATATATATAGATAGATAGATAGATGGATGGATGGATGGATGGATGGATGGATGGTAGATAGATAGATAGATAGGTAGAGAGAGAAAGATAGAGAGATAGATAGAGAGCTGGGTAGATAGACAAATAGAAAGATAGGTAGATGTATAGATAGATAGAAATATCGATAAATAGAGAGATTGATACATACACGAGAGACAAAGATATAGATAGATAGATAGATAGATAGATAGATAGATGGAGAGATGGAGAGATAGACAGACAGAGAGAGAGAGAGAGATAGATAGATAGGTAGATAGAGGGATACACAGAGAGATAGAGAGATAGATAGACAGAGAGATAGATAGAGAGATAGACAGATAGAGAGACAGATAGATAGATAGATAGATAGATAGATAGATAGATAGATAGATACGTGGGAAATAGATGGAGAGATAGATAGATAGAAAGAGATAGAGAGAGATAGATAGAAAGAAAGAGAGGTAGAGAGATAGATAGAGAGATAAATAGATAGATAGATGAACAAACAGAAGATAGATAGACAGATAGATTGATAGATAGAGAAATAGATAGATAAATAGATAGATAGATAGATAGATAGATAGAGAAATAGTTAGAGAGGTAGATAGATGGATGGACAGATAGAGAGAGAGAGAGAGGGATAGAGAGATAGATAGATAGAAAGAAAGAGAGATAGAGAGATAGGTAGATATCTAGATAGAGAGATAGAGATAGATAGATAGATAGGTAGTTAGGTAGATAGATAGGTAGAGAAAGATAGATAGATAGACAGACAGATAAAAAGACAGAGAAGAGACAAAAGAAAGAACAGCACAAGAATAAGCAAACGAAAGAAAGAAAGAAATTGCAGATAGAAAGAAGGAAAGAAGGGAGGAAGGAAGGAAGGGAAGAAAGGAAGACTGACGGAGAAAAAAGAAACAATGAGAAGGAAGAAGAAGAGGAAAAGAGTCAAGAAAAGAAAGAGAAAGACAACTATAGTTTGTATATTTTTGAAACTTCCGCCCACCGGCTTCGCCGGCTCTACTGGTAATACCTTCTCGCCTCCTCTAGATCCGCTGCTCAAAATGCATCGTTTTTGTAGGGACCTCCTTGGCTGGCGATTTTGGGTTCCATGTCAAAATCATTTGTCTGCAAATCGTTTTTTCTTTTCGAAGGTATCCCTTGAACCCAACCGAATCCGTAGGTTTACACCAAGTCTGCCCTCTTCGAGCAATCCACCGCCAGCGAGCTGCAGGTGGAGGACTGGCCCAAGGTATCTTTTTTTGCTTGGGGGGGGTTCATTGAAGCCGAGAAGAAACAAACCATTTTTGGACGGTCCCTCCAGTTTGGAGACGTGGACAACGCCGGTTTGCGGTCATCTGTAGAGGGTAACATTGGGTGTCTCCACCAAGTTTCCAAGGCATTGGGGGTTACCCACCAAAAATAGATGTCAGTTCGGGACACCTCTGAATATCGACCGCGGCTTTGTGCAAATGGAGTCGTGACCTCCCAGCTTACCGCTCCAAGGCTCGTTTCCCAGGGACCCACAAGTTTTGAGTTGGGATTATGTTGATTCACCATGGCTCCTGCCTTAACATTGTAACGTGGCAAGTACTATATAATTCACCACAGTCAAGCCGCGAGGGAACACCCTAGAGACGTTACCCTTCAGGCCCAGAAGTGGGCTGGTTGGGGGGGGGCGGGTCTGGTCTGATCAATGTTCCTGGGGTGAGATTCTGCGACGTCATGTGCCTAGTAAGCTTCAATAGGCACCTTTTGGATCGTTATTGCCGGAAATCCGAACATGTGGCCTCGCACGCTGGGGCCCAAGACAGGAAAATCAAAAGACCCTTATAATGGTTAATGTTCCCGAAATGAACCAACAAGGGATGAGTAATTTTGATTTTTTGTCCAGATCCCGCATTTACCCCCGTGCCATGGCACCAGCCTAGAGGACTCTGATATCTCCGCAAACAATGTGAGCTTTGTGGACGTCGATCTGGACGACACTGAGGTGGAAAGGGGGGAGGAGGAAGACAGTTAAGGACTGCGACCCTCCCCCAGAAACCAAGTTTGGAAAATTTTTCGAGAAATACCAAACTAGAGGCAAAGATGCATTTAGACTTCTACTTCCATGGTTTTGATTGGGAACTCGGACCCTACTCCTCACTCCAAAGACTCCACCTTTAAGGGTATGATGTGAACTGACTGAATAGAGGTGTTTACCCAGCAAACACCTGGCTTTCCAGGACATCAGTCTCTGTTCTGGGGATGAACAAATTTGGATATTTCCCAGGTTTAGAATTTCGTCAAATCTGTCGGGATTCTGGGCAACTCATGGCGTCAGGGCCCCAGTGTTACAAGGCTTAGGACAGCGCTCCAGCGCAGGGTTTGCCGTTCCAAGTGAAATAAAGTCACTCGAGGTAGACGGTATATTGGTTCCTGGTGCTTCCTTTTTCAGGGAGCTTTTACACCCTGACTTGGCCGTCGAACCCTGAACAACCACCTACTTTTGAACGACTCTGCAAACCAGCTTGGGCGCAAATGCATTCAATGGTTTCAGCATGCTTCAAAACATACACTGGAAACAAGATCATTGACAACCCCAGGAGTGTTCTTTGTTCTTCGGGAGAAAGAAAAGGATACACATCTCTTTGGGGTGGATTTCACCCGGCCAGGTGGGCGGCGTGATCCGCTGGACCGAGCCGGAGGACCCTGACGCCCTCGCTGCAGGCGAGCCTGGTAAAGGTGAGGTAAAGGTGAGGCACCCCTTGAAACCACCAGACAATGATACAAATTGGGGATGCCTTTTGTGATGTTGACGTGTTTGTTTAATATTAGGTTCTCTAGTTTTTCCCTTCAGCCAAAAAGCTGTCCTGTTTGCAAACCCGAGTATTTGTTGTGTGGTGTTTTCTTGCACCTTCAGTCCAAAGGCCCGGGTTAGTAGATTGCATCCAGCAAGATCGCCCCACCAAATCCCTTTGGTTTGGTGGGTTCGGGACCTAATTGAAAAATGAATCGACCCCAAAAAGGGTTCCGATTCTGGACATTGCGCTTTTTTTGAGAGAGTGATGGTAGAACACATGAGGAAATCTACCTCCTTTCCAAGATTGCTGGAAGTAAGTAAGGGTTCGAGAACGACCAGCATCTTAAAACACCTGCCCGCTTCCACGATTGTCAAAAGGGTCGGTTCCTCGTTTCGCTCTTGACAGACTCGGCTGTCCTTTCTGACCCAACTGATCTCTAAAGGCCTCAGTTTAAAGGTCATGTGTTGGGTTGTTTTCTTCTCCCCATGGTGGTTGAGCAAACCAACACGTGACAGGCGACTTGTAGCCAAAAGCAAAGGTTCCAATCATAGCTAGACGCTCCTTATTTATTATTGGACGAATTGGCGAAAGCTCCATATTTCCTGAGTGTCTTTTCCTCAAATCATTTGAAGTCAAGTCCTGGCCACTTCAGATAAACAGTGCGTCCTTTTCATGGGAGGCCACCCATGAGCAAGAATAACAACCCAGTTTTTCAGTGGATTCCACCCTCTACTTCGTTTGGTGGGTTCCCCACTCAAAATCGCCACCAGAAAGGCTCCCTTTTGCCAGGCTCACTCAGAGATCCAAAGGCTGCTTTTTCGCTACGTTTTGATCAGTCATCCACGTCAACACTGGCTTTCGCAGTGTGACTTTGTCTTGCTGCGTGTGCAAGTTCCGTTGGAACTTGGGGCATGTTCTTCGGCACCACGGCAGTCTTTTTGATCCTTGCCAAAGGGCGGCAGCAAAATAAGAGGATCTGTGCAGCTCTTGGCTTCTTTGCTCCCTTCGTGATGATCCAGGCTCTTTACAAAGCCATCAGTGAACCGGGGCGTTCCAACTTGAACGTTTTGCAGCTTTTGCAACGGCGGATTCCGGCAAGAAGGATCCTACAAATGATGAATGCTAGTTGACACAGTCCAGTCACATTCTCACCCCCGACACATGAGAGTCGTTGCTTTTTTTCTCCATAAGGGTAACTACCCCATTGGTCATTGCTCAGTTGCAGGAAGCCGTCTGAGAACAGGGAGCCCAAAAATGGTGTTTGTTCCTTTTGTTTTTCTTCAAAGCAGCCACAAGAAGGTACCTTCCAGGAGCGGTTTCCAACTGTGTTCCTGTGGCTGCGAGGCTACGTGGTGTACCTGGCGGACTCCTCCAATCGCAGCGAGATCAGTTCTGCTGCGGCAGGCGCGGGGTGCCGCGTGCGAGCATGGCTTTGTTTGTACGGACGGAGAAGCTCCACAACGCACCAGTTCGT